GGGGGGGGGGGGGGGGGAGGGGGAGATGTGGGGGTGGCGGGTGTGAGCCGCCAGCAGCTCCTTACGCCGCCGCCCCCCTTCCCTTCCGCGGCTTTCCGCCATGGAGAGGGGGTGGGGGGGGGGGGGGGGGGGGGGGGGGGGGGGGGGGGGGGGAGAGAAGGGGAGGAGGGTGAGGGGGTGGCGGAAGTAGACAGGTGCGAAGGGTGTGAGGTTAAAAGGGTTGACTGACAAGGGGGGTGAGGACTTGGGGGTTATTAACGGGGGGGGATCGCTATGAGCTTGCGCGCTCATGCCCACCTAGCCCACCTCCTCTCCTCATCGAGACTTGGGGGTTATTAACAGGGGGGGGATCGCTATGAGCTTGCGCGCTCATGCCCACCTAGCCCACCTCCTCTCCCTTTCCTCTCTCACATCCCCCTTTGTAAAAGGAGGTTCGTAAGCGGGTAGCCCCCCACCTCCTCTCCTCTTCTCTCCTCTCCTCTCACCTCCTCCTCCTTCCTAACCTCTCTACCATCTTCTGCTGCGCCACGTGTACCTGTACTAGTTATCACGGCAAGCAGGTTAAGGGGGTGTGTTAAGTTTTGTTATATACCCTGCTTGCTGTGTGTTCTAGTGTAGCTACAGTAAGTTGTTGGTGGTGCACCAATGTGCTCACCTTTCTTTGCTATATCTTGTAACGTTGCTGTAGTGAACAATACCTTCCTTCCTGTTTCTCTCGCTCACGCTACCCCAAACCCTAAGGCTACTATTCTAATACAAACACACCTGCCTTGATTGCAGATATGTTGCCAATCTGTCCGATAGTGGGGCTCTGCGCAGCGGGGGAAAATTTTGCCCAACGTACGTTGGGTACGCAGCGCAGGGCGGCAGGGCGTTACGTGTGGAGTGCAGTGAATTATCATTTCCTTAAAGATATTTTGGGTCCTGTCCCAATCCCATCTTGATAGCATTTCCTTAAAGCAGGAGTATACATTTGGCAGCACTGTTGTTTCTGCACAGTGTGCCAGGCGATTTCGCCTCAACGAAAATGTAAACAGAATAGCGAGAGTGTTGGCGAAAAACTGGAGCGCTTCAGTTGCAAGGGGAACAGGGTTGGGTAGGTTGTGGGTCACAAAATGGGAAAAAACTCCCGTCACCGAACTTGCCTTCTACATCACACTACGGAGAATACGCATCTAGTAGCTACTAGTTTAGGTACAGCAGGCCGGAGGGTGCTAGGCCAGCAGCGCGACCACATACATAGACGCGGGTGAGTATTTAGCCATTTGCAGAACAGGCGACGCCTGCGAGCGTCACTAGCGCCAGCGATGGTGGCACTCCGTGTGCGTCGTGTCATTCCGCGCGCGTCACTGGCGCCAGCTATGATGGCATTCCGTGAGCGGGACTTGCGCCAGTTACGCTATCATTCCGCGCGCAACACTTTCGCGCGCTGTGTTGGCATCCGCGCGCGGCACTTGCGCGCGCTATGCTGGCATTCCGTCCGCGCGCTAGCATAGCGCGCTCAGCAGAGCGAAGCTTGCCAGCAAGACGCGCGCCGCAAAAAAATACGGTTTAGGCCTGCATACCGCGCGGCGCGCCAGCACAGCGAGCGCATGTGACGCTTAGATGCCCAGCAAACAGCACGCGGTTGCAAGCACGCGCGCTCCATCGAAATTCAGTCCAGAAGCGCGCGCGAGCCAGCCATCCTACTGCAGCCACCAGTAACGCGCTGCTCGCCTCACGGATTTACCCCTAGGAATCCCCTCATTTCCGCCCCTGCTTCCCCTCCTTTCCCCCCACGCATCCCCTCATTTCCGCCCCTGCTTCCCCTCCTTTCCCCCCACGCATCCCCTCATTTCCGCCCCTGCTTCCCCTCCTTTCCCCCCACGCATCCCCTCATTTCCGCCCCTGCTTCCCCTCCTTTCCCCCCACGCATCCCCTCATTTCCGCCCCTGCTTCCCCTCCTTTCCCCCCACGCATCCCCTCATTTCCGCCCCTGCTTACCATTTCCTTTCACCCGTGCTAGCCCTCCTCCCCCATGTTCCTTCCCCTCCAGCTTATACTCTGTTTCTCCCCTCCTTTCTGGTTTGTTTTCCCCCTGCTACCCTATCGTATGCACTGCCATTGGTGCAGTCACTAGCAGGGCATGTGGTGCGGGCGGTGGTAGTGCTGCCCGCCAGAGACCTGGATGCCTAGGTGGGTATTACGGTCATTTCCCCCTTCCCAGTAGACGCTGGCGTATGTGCAGCCAGTGATGCAGGCCCTGGTGCCGCACGTGGTGCGACAAGTCAGAGCGGTCGTTGTGTTGCCCACTCGAGACCTGACTGTTCAGGTGGGTGTTATGGCGCTACTGTGCTGCTGTGCACACCTATGCACACACAAACTGCTGCCGTGCACCCACACTCCCTTGCTCGCAGACAGAGCCGAGTTTCAACCGTCAACCCTCCTCTCCCACCATTGCCCCACAACTTACCTGTCTTTCTGCTCCTCCCACTTGCTCTCATCTTTTCACACGCAACCCTGCCTTCCAATCTCCCATCCCTCCCTTCCCATCACCGCTCTCCCTGCCTTCGCATCTTCCCTCCCGTGTCGTGGCCTGGTGGCCAGCACTACTGCGCTGTTGCGAGTGCGTGTGAAGCAGTGCGTTACACCGCGACGAGTTCGTGGTCCGGTTGGGGTTCCCTTCCCTTTCCCATCCCTTCTCCCTTCCTTTCCCTTGCATGCCCTCCCCTCCCCCCTCACTTACTCGTCACTGTCTACAATCTAGTTCCTGTGCATGTAGTGCCATCACGTGCTTGAATTCCTTTGTTGCTTCTCTTCTGCCTCACAGCACCTTCCCTGGAGCATTACTGGTTCGTTTTTGCCTACTCTGCTAATTGGCTGTGTTGATACAGAGGGCAGCAATTACAAGCAGAGGCGTAGCTAGTGGATGGTTTGTCACCACTTATGTTCTGTCTCGTGTGCATTGTGATGCAAGTATGGTAGTGAGTTATTCCTAGAAAGATGTGTCATGAAGCTTACTATGTACTACCATGATTCAGCAGTGCAATGCATGGACAGGTGTCACATCCCTTACAGGTAGAAAGAAACATGTTCTCACATAACTTTAGACTATAGGCAAAGGCCAAGAGGAGCAAGCAAGGTACCGTACTATTGACCCTTTCTCTATGCCTTTGGCAACAAATATTAGCTGCGGTAGACATGAGATGATTGGGTGAGGCGTGTTGAAGCTTGAAATCTTCATAGCAGTCAGTCACTGAAATAGTCAGGGAAGGGGAAAGAATCCGAGGGCAGGAAATAAGGGTAATGGTTCAACCACAAGCTGTGATGAGAGGAATCATGGAGAAAATGATGGGAATTAGGATGAAGAAGAGGGGAGTCAGGGTGAAAATGAGGGGAACCAGGGAGACGCGTGCGTATTTGCCGCGAGGCGACGCCGCGTGCGTATTTGAGGCGAGGCGACGCCGCGTGCATATTAGCGGCGAGGCGACGTCGCATGCGTATTTGCGGCAAGGCGACGCCGGGAGCGGATTTGCCGAGAGGTGACGCCGCGACGGGCGTTGAGGCGAGTCTACGACGCGAAGTCTTACGAGGCGATGCAAAACCTAAGCCATGGTATGGACGGCGTATGACCTAAGCGTAAGATCAAGCTTGATCATAATGGCAAATATTGCCCCCGGTAGCTAGTTTTCATAATTGTTCACGCCGAGAATGCTTGGGGCTAGTGCGAGGAGGCAACTCCTTCAGTATACTTTTGGCATGTATAAACTTTCGACAATTGAGTGGCCTCGGCTTGTGAGGGGAGTTGGGAACACTTGGGAACCGTCGCTCGTGACAGAAGTTGAGTGGGCCTGTAACTCGGTCACCACCAAGTACCTTTTATAAACTTTTGGCACAGGCCCTGCCAAATGTATACCGCCGCTTTAAAGATCGTTAAGAAATCTATCATGGAGACTCAGGTTAAATTGACTGTTGAAACGACCCTGGGATAATTTCACTTGTTTCGCGTCCAGAGTAGTTCAGTTGAAGTTTGGTGGCCCACCACCGCCTGCTTCCATAATTCCTTCCGGCTCCCTTTTTGTGTCACATCTGATTGCTGAGTGCCTACGTGCCCGCCGATGACTCGCTGCTAAGCTTATTGCGATGGTGACTTAGCAGCATCTTTACATCTCATGGGTGGGACATGGAGGTTTCCAACGTCAGGAATATTCCTTTCCGTTGTCTCAGCTGTGTAGGATGCTTGAAACCCCAGCCAGGCCAAAGGCGGCACTGGACCTGGCTCTGAAAGTGATGCCACGTGGATTCGAGCGCATCTTCCCAAGCGGGAGACCTGGCCGAACCAGCCCAGCGGTGCACTTTTCAAGTTGCGCTGTGACTGGAGTCACTGTGATTTGTCAGGGCGTGTCTCACGACTTCATTCCCAGTTCAAGTTGTTGGGATCCTTGTTTTAGAGTTCGTTTCCTGAGGTCCGTTACCCCAATCTGAGAATTTGCCTAACACCCGTTCATGCGAAATAGATGAACGTCGCAGGGGGTGCTGCCCCAACACTAAAATTCCAGCTGTCACTTTCTCCACAGTCGATTCGCAACTGGGGCGGGTTACCGCTCGCGGCCCATGTCAAAAGTGAATCGGATGACGAGTTTTGTTTGGGCGGGGCTATGAGTCCGCGTGGTGCAATTTCGTCAGGCGCTGTGCTGACGCGCTGCGTTTTTTTTTTCCGTCAGAGTGTGCACTCCTCCGCTGATTTGAAGTTACGTTGGGAAGAAAGGTTTTCTAATAAAATGAAGTGATGGGACACGCCCTTAGGGACTCATCACACGGTGCCGAGAAGCTGAGTTACAGCACTGCACAGTACTTGGATTGCGGGAGCTTGTGAGAGTGTGAAAACCATTTGCTAGTGCATGATGATGACATGATTCTGCTGCTGATTACCGCACAGCACCAACTGCCACGAAAGGAATCTTTGGCGAAATATTCTCTGTCCATGTCCAATGTTCAATTCCCTCTTCGTTTGACCAACCATGTACTGTATTGGCACTAGGTATTTTGGAGGCTAGATTCTGGAGAGACTTGTTAGCAGGCGCGTCGTGAAGCGGAGTCACGTACGTTTTATGTCTTTCAGAGGCGCTGATTTAGGAATTTTTGGAAGTTAGATTGTATGCCCTATCCAGGATGAAGTTCGGAAAGAGGCTTAGAGATCAGGAAGAGGGGACGTTGCCGGAGTGGAGAGGCAAGTTTCTTCGCTACAAGGAGCTGAAGAAGCGGCTTAAGACTATCTCCGCTGAATCGCCAGAACGCGAACTTGAGGGGGCAGAGCAGCCGCTAGATTTGTGCGATGAATCTTCAGGTACAATCAGCGACTCGATAGGGTTTGACAGAAGGCATCTTATTACTGACCTCCGCTTGCATCCTTTTTGTAGAAGGCCATTACCTTAACGCATCCCATGGGAGTCAAGCTTTGATATAGGTTTGTCCCCGTTTGTTCGTATTGCTTAGACTCCAGCTATGTTTCACGGTCGTGCAGATATTGTCAGGCGTGCGCTCTTCTCCGGGTCGTCGGAAGACCCCTTTGTGCAGCTGCTGCTGTCGGAGCTGGATCGATTCAACGACTTTTTCGCTGATAAGGAGGAGGAGTTTGTCATTCGTATGCACAACATCAAACAGCGGATAGCGAATGAGGTTCGTATTTTCATTCAAGTAGTGTGCCCGTTATTTCTCGTTCAACGACTGGTGTCTCTGACTATGCGTGTTCCGTCTCTGTCCTCAGGTTCCACAGAGAAGTTCTCCCGTCCAAGGATTTGTGCTTGATGCTGCCGATAGTGCCGGGGTGAACAGCATACGCCGTGCCATTGTTGCGCTACACGGGGAAATGGTAACTATCTTATTCCATATCCATCTTGCTCCTAGTCGTAACCTCCTTTGTTCCTGGCCAAATTGTATTCCACCCTGGAATCACTTATGCTTATCTCTTTTTGTCCTGTGTCCACATGTGTCCTTACCACGCAGGTGCTGCTGGAGAACTACAGCTCGCTCAACTATATGGGGCTCGTTAAAATCGTCAAGAAGCACGACAAACGCACCAGTCACCCTTTGCGTCCGTTCTTGCGCACTGTGCTGCAGCAGGTATATTGCCCGCTTCTATTCTAGTCCTGCGTGCGCTCTCTTGATGGCATATCAGTCAATGACAACTTCCATTATTCTCATCAGTGTTTTTCGTCCCTCGCATCTGTCCCTCCACCGTCTCGTCCGCTTTGTCCCTGCAGCCGTTCTGTACGACGGAGCTGTTGTCGCAGTTGATCAGCGAGTGCGAAGTGTTACTTCATCAGCTGTTGCCTCCCAGCGAGCAATCATGTACGTACGGCTCTGCTTCCCTTGCTCGCACTCCCACGTATTGTCTCATCGCTGTAATCTTGCTGTTTGTGTCAGCAACATGACTCAGGTTTTGACGTTTTTGCGTCTGCAACTGTTGTCTGTTTCATGTGCAGCATGCAACCATCCGGTAGTCACGCTTCACCAGGATGTCCCATCTGTTGCTTCTGAGGCACTGGAAGTGTCGCCTACCAGAGAGCCTGCCGCTGCAGAGTTTGATTCTGACGACAACGACACAGTAGCCATGGTGTACCGCAGTGCCTGTAGCGCCCTGCGCGCCCTGATCGAGATCCGCAGCAGCTCTAAGACCCCCCATCCGATCATGCTGGCAGCAGCACAGCAGGGAGCGCTCTCGCCTGCAGTGCACTCCCCTACCGTCCCTGCGGAGCCTCTGCAACCCGAAGCCAGCCAATCCAACCGTGGTGATACTCAGGGTGGAGCAGATGTGATGGGCAGTGGGGGGGAGTCAAGCTGCAGTACTGAAAGGGGGAGTGCTCTGGTGATGGTTGAGAAGTCTGCTGGCGTGCATTGCGGGTTAGAGAGGGAGCTGGATGCGGGAAGCACGGAGCAGGCACTTACTGTTGGCCAATCCTAACATTGGCTTTTAGATGGAGGGGGCTGTTCAGAGGGATGTTGTCAAGTTCTATTTGCGATGAGGCTACGGCTGTACATATGCATCTTCAAGTTCAATCACTTCTGAAATTTCTTGTTTTATTGTTGTACTGGTTAATTTGGATGACAACCAATAAATGTGTATGTGAACCTCACGGGAATAGTGGTGATGTGCCACTATCGATGGTACCACACTCCTCTCCCCGTTTTTGGGGGTGACAGCGGTACCGTCAACTCCAAACAGAAACCGTACTGTCCCCCAACTTGTAATGCCATTGTTTCATATAACGCGGTATTTGTTTGGGTTGCATTGCATTGTCATCATCCTTTCATTCCATATCACCTTGTTCCAGAAGCTACAATTACCATCATGAGACTCAAGGAAACCACAGATTGCACAATGAACACATTCTACAAACCACAAACTCAATGCCCATGACCGGACTGGGGTTATAAGAAGCCCAACCACGGATATAACCCTACAGCTACAGCACCAGCAGCTATTGAAAAAAACACACAACACCACATGAGAGAACGTCACCAGAAGGGGCACCAGCCGATGTAGCTCTGGCAGAGATTCTCATGCGATGTAGCCTGCACTATCAACCGCTGCACCTGCTCCTTCACACTCACCCCCGGCTCGCTCTCCCGCCCCTCCGCTATCACCCCACCGCCACTCCCCATCGCCGCAGCAGCCATGGCTGACGTGGTCCGCTCCAAGCTGCGCCCACTGTCCCCCAGCAGGCTGTTGCTGCTGCCTGTGCGAGGGGACTCCGGCACGGCCCCAGGGAGAGAAGCTGCGGGGGCGGCGGAGGGAGCGAGGGGGTGGAAGTCGCGACCAGTGAGCTTGTTGCTCATGCGGGTCATCACCGCCACTGCGCGCTCATTCAGCACCTCCTGGGCGTCATCCAGCTGCCCCAGCGCCTGCAGAATCTCCCGCTCCCGCGCGCCCCGCTGCGGCGGCGGCGACTGCACCGCCCCGCCTCCTCCCCCACCCGCCGCCCCACCACCACCCGCACCTCCTCCCCCTGCCCCCGCTCCTGCAGCGGCAGCAGCAGTGGTATTCGCGGCAGCGGCAGCGGCGCCGGTGCGGTTGATAAGGCGCCAGTTGATGAGCGGATCATACATGAAGGCTTCCATCATGGCGAGCACCGAGTCCTTGTGTTGCCGCAGCACGGCCATCACCGCCTCGCACGTGAACCGGAATGTGCCCTCGATGCCGCTCACCTCCATCGCCTTCACCAGCATGCGCGTCAGCCGGAAGGGGAACTTCTCGGGAAACTTCTCGCGGTGCATGGATGACTCAAAACAATCACCAAAATCAATGTGGATAATCTTGCCCGAGTATCGATCCAGCATGAGGTTGCTCGGATGGCGGTCGCCCAGCCCCAGGATATACCCCACCATGCTCATCACCGCAAGGCTCCGCGTGTAGTTGCACCGGCGGTCCAGCCACACCTCAGCACTGCGGCTCTTGAGCCATAGCACCCGCGCCAGGTCGTTCCCGGGAGTGCTGTCCAACGCATGTTCAAACGCCTCTACTTTCCCGATGACTGTGAGGTGGTCGTAATCGGGAGCGAAGCTGAGGATGAGGCGCCTCTCGAGGTTCACTGCGATGTTGTGAGCCTCGCGGTACTCCTGAATCAGCTGGTGCATCGTGTCGCAGTGCGGTAACCACCCGATGAGGCCAATGTTGGGCGATAGGGGGACCACTGCGTACCGTTCGATCGAGAGATCCTTGTCAGCTGCTGACCGGGCGCCGGCCAGGAGCGTGTTGACCAGCCCGAACAACTGCATCACGCGCTCATCCAGCCGTAGATCCTCGTGGCCCTTCAGCAGGAACACGTATTCTCGGCCGTCGGATCCCAGGATCGAGATCTTCCGTGGCCGCTGCTTGGAGGTGATCACCAGCAGCTGGGGTGCAAACCCTGCGATGGTCACTGTCGGCCGCCCAGCGCGGTACGTCCCGGGGACGGCGAGAGCGAGGTCGCGGGCGTTGACCAGCGCAGGCGCCACCTGGAGCAGCTCCAGAGTGGTGAGCGCGGGGAGCTGCTTGTTAATGCGCTTGAACACGTGGTAGTACAGGTCCCATGCCTGCGTCAGCTCCGCTTCTCTCCCTGTCCGACGGTAGTTCGCGCAGCACTCCGCCGCTTCGGCCAACTCCCGCCCGTAGGCCTCCACGAAGGCAGCTTCCGTGCTGGTTTCCGGGCCGGCGGTTTCAAGCAGCGCGTGCAGCGGAGCGAGCACGGCCAGCATGCCGTCCACATTCCGCTCTCCAAAGTACAGCCGGGAGGCCTCCTCCAAGGCCTCGTGCCACATCTCGTGCCACAGGATGGCCACTCGGATCAGCTCCACAGATACCAGCTGCGCTGCTTCTACAAGAGCCGCGGAGTGAGATCGGATATTGTCCAAGACTGCTTGTGCGGCGGCGCAGCGAGAGAGCGACATGGACTTGCAGGCGACGAGCAGCGGGAACATGAGGGTCTGCGGGTGGTGCCGGCCGACGCGGATGAGCAATGATTGCACGAGGGAGCGGACGGCAGGCACGTTGTTGTGGATGCGTGCGATGATCTGAGGGATGACGTGCAGCCACGTGTCGATGTTCACGTGCGTGAAGCCCTCCTGTAGCGCCGCCTGCACGTCGGCTGTAGCGCCGTACCGGAACCACAGCGTAAGCAGCCGAAGGATATCCTGTAGGCTGTCCCCCGCGCCCTTCCCAGATCCTAGCCCCTTCGCCACCCCCGCTCCCCCGCCCGCCCCCATCCCCTTCCCATCCCCCGCCCCGCCCGCTCCCCCTCCTCCCGCCACGCCAGCAGCTGCAAACACCGCTCTCCCACCTGCCTGACTCGCCGTCCCGCCTGCCGTGGCCAGCGCAATTGACCGGAAGAACCCCGCAATGGCGGCAACCAGATGGTTCTGAGCCGCGTGCGCGTTGCCCCGCTGCGTGAAGTGCGTCATGGCTGCCGTGTTGAAGAGTGCCCAGCGATGCCACGCCTTCCCCCAACCCGGCGCCAGCTCTGTTGCCGCACGCAGGGACGTGCCGATTTCAGCGACGGAGGCGTCGGAGAGGGTGGGGTGGAGCGACCACTGCCACGTGCCCAGCTTCAGGTACACCCGTGACAGCAGCGGTGTGCCCTGTGCCATGCCGCTGCTGCCGCCCTCCCCTGCTGCTCCTCCTGCTGTTGCTCCAGCCCACGCTGCTCCTGCTGACGGTGCTGACAGGGAGGAGGAGGAGGAGGAGGGGAGGCCAGGGATGGCGGAGGGCGGAGGGGGTGAGTGGCCGGTGTGAGGGAGAGAGGTCATGCCGGGCAGAGGAGACACCGGCCGCGCCCCGCCTAAGCTTGATGCCGAAACCATCCCCACGCCGCCCGCAACGCTGCCGCCGCCGCCCGCCAGCAGCCCGTTCCCGAGCCCCACGGCAGCGGCGCCAGGTGGCGCGCCGTGAGTGGTTGCGAGCGCGGCGGCGAGATCCTGCAGGCAGCGGAAAGCGTTGCGGCGGTTGACGTCAGAAGCGAGGGCCCAGGCGTACTTGAGATAGCCCAGCACCACGTGCGGCATGGCTGGGATGAGCAGGGGGGACGTGGATGGGGGTTGGTACGCGAGGGAGGAGGAGGTGGGGAATGGGAGCGAGGAGGAGGAAGGGAAGGGGAGGGAGGGGGGTATGTTTGCCACGGCTGCTGCCGCGGCGGTTAGCATGTCGTTGGTGGTGCCGCTGGTGGTAATGCCGGTGCTACTGATGCTCACCCCTCCTCCCAGACCCACGCTGCCCAACCCGCTTCCTCCGAACGCTCCTCCTCCCACTCCCGCCCCACCCCTCATCCCCACCGACGGCAGCCGCAGCAGTGGCACCGCTCCTGCCGCCCCCGCCCCCGCCACCACCGCCAGTCCGCCGCCCGGGGTGCCAATACTGGTAACGGCACCGCCCTCCCCTTCGTGCACGTCCAGCCCGAGCATCCTGGCCCCGGCAGGGTCGTGCTGCAGCAGCCTCAGGAGAGTGGCTCGCGCCTGACTCACGCGGCCGCTCTTGCGGCACAGCGAGGCGAATTTGAGCCACGTGTGGGCGTCCTGGTGCATGGGCAGCACGAGCGACCGCACGGCCAGCAGCGCCTGCCACACGTCCACGTTGCGCTGGGCGCCCTTGATCCTCTCCCGCCACATTTGCCGGATCACCGCCTTCCTCGCCTCCACCTCCCCCGCGCCCATGTGCCCCTCCTCCCCTCCCAACCCCAGCGCCCCCCCTCCGTCCATCCCTGGAAAACCCCCTCCTGCACCCCCACCAGCTGCCCCTCCCCCTGCATCTGCCCCCAGCAAGCAGTAGTCTATAACCTCCTCTAGTTCTGACAGCTGCTGCACCCTCACCACGTCCCCATATGCTCTCTCGTAGCTTTCCAACACCAGCGCCGCCAGCTCAGTCGCCAGAAGCTTCCGCGCTCTTTCCACGTACTCCCGCGCCTCCCCGAACGCCCCGTGCCGCACTGCCAGCACCGCGCGGAAAAACGCCCCGTCGCTACGCCCTGAGCCTGACCCCACCCCCGACCCTCCCGCCAAGCTATGGTGCTGCTGCATCGGCAGAACCGCCCCGAACCTCCCGCCACCGCCGCCCATCCCGCCAAACCCACCCATGGACGCCCCTCCAGCATCATCCCCCCCATCAGGCAGCACAGAGACGTACTCTGCCATGTCGTCCCACCGCCCCATGTTCCACGCTGCTCCCGCCCCCAGCGGCGCCATCTGCACGCGCGCTGCGGGCTCAGCGGGCGGCCAGGCGTCGTGGCAGAGCGCTGAGAGCTCCTCCCAGCGCGCCAAGGCGGCCAGGCAGCGCATGCGGCCCAGCGTGGCGTCTAGCAGCGCTGCTGACGCCGCTGACGCTGCTGACGCCGACACCTGCATGCCTGGATGCATGCTGGGATGCATCCCCCCTGCAGCAGCGCCCGCGCCCGAGAGAAGCATCCCGGTCTGCCCCCCTCCGACTCCCCCTCCCCCTGCCCCGCCTCCGCCCCCTCCCCCCATGGCCGCCACAGCAGCAGCCGCGCGGCGCTCATATGCAGCGAGAGCATCATGCCAGCGCTGCAGCTTCTCATACCAGGGCTCCTTCAGCTGCACTGCCAGGTGCCTCTGAGCGTACACCAGCATGCCCACCGCCGCCTCGTGCTGCTGCAGCTGATTATTGATGTGAATCAGCGCCTCTACTGTCGCCGCCGGGTCGACTTCAAACTCCATCTCCTTGTAGTGCAGCGCCTTGGCGAACGCGTGGCACTTCTCGGCGAGTGCGCCGAGGGTGCGGATGTCGACGGGGAGCGGGCACTCGTTCTGCTCCATGAACTCAGCCAGGTTGAGAAGGGTTGCGAGGATTTCCGGGGGGATGTTGGGGGATGCAAAGGCGGCCTCCAGGGAGTGAACCAGCTGGTCGCGGCTGGCATCGTTCAGCTCCTGCCAGCAGCTCACGAACCCAACCGCAAAGAGCTCCCGTGCCACGTGCGGTTGGAGCGGGGCGAGCGTGGCGCAGGTGCGGAGCGCCGGGGAAGGGGACTCCTTGAGGAGCTCCACGGAGAAGTGCCGCATCCATTCCGCCCAGTCCTCCCGAGTGCTGCGCTGTGACGACTCCCAGGCTTTTCTCAACTGCCCCTCGTTCACCCGTAACGTCCCGGACGCTGATAAAGCAGAGGCGGTTCCGCCGCTGCCGCCGTTGTTGCTGCCGCCGCCTCCCCTGGTGGCGCCCCCGGGCCCGCCGGTGCTGCCGACGGCATCGAGAGACGAGCCCATGCCATCGAAGTCAAAGCCCCAGTCCTCATCGAACCCCACCGTGGCGTTCAACGGCCCACCGCCCCCGCCAGCGGCACCGCCGCCGGCGCCGCCAGCAGCAGCAGTGCCGGCGCCGCCCGCGCCCCTGCCTCCACCTCCTCCCCCTCCCCCCGCGCCCTGCCCACCCGCGCCTCCCCCTCCTCCCCCCTGCGTCCCCCCCCCTCCCCCAGCCGCCCCCCCCTGCCCTGCAAGATTATCCGAGCTTCCCCAGGTGCTGCCCCCGGCGAAGGAGGCAGAGGAGGGAACATGGGGCAAGGAGGAGTGGGCGGCGGGGGGGAGGTTGAGCAGCAGCGAGGGGTCGCGGCGCTGCAGGCACGCTGCTATGGCGTCGAAACGCGCGCTGGAGAGGCGGTGGCGGGAGAGGAGACGGCGGATGGTGGGGATGAAGGGCGCGAAGTCAGGACCCTGGTGGAGGGAGGTGGGGGAAATTATGGAAATGGGGAGGGAGGTGATGAGAGACGTGTGGATGGGAGCGTGGTGAGAGACAGAGTGTCACATGACATGAGAGCGAACGAGAAAGAGCACACTCCAGTGCCAGCACTGCCCATCCACCAGTCCACCCCTACAATAGGCAACCCATCTGTGCAGCAAGCAGCAAGCAGCAAGCAGCAAGCAGCAAGCAGCAAGCAGCAAGCAGCAAGCAGCACTGAACTGACCTGCGCGAGAGCCAGGTCACAGATGGCGTCAGCTGCATCCCTCCGCAGCTCCTCGCTGGGCCCGTCCAGCACGCGCGCCAGCGGATGCAGGATGGCCGCCGCATGGTCCGCCACGTGCAAGGAGGGCAGCAGGCGAGTGAGCGTGCGCACCGCCGCGCGCTGGATGGGCAGCGGCACGTCCGACACGCCGGGCTTGAAGAGGCGCACGACAGCTGGCAGCAGCAGGTGCATGTGCGGCTCCATGTCGCCGCCCAGCATGCTGCCGCCCAGGACTTCGAAAGCGTGCAGCACGGGCGGCACGCGCTTGTAGTCGCCGCTGCGCTCCGCGTCGGCCACCACGGCGACGCACCGAGGGAGCAGGTCCGGGAGGCACACCCTGAAGTCCTCAGGGAGAGCGCGGGCGAGTTGCTCCACTAGGTTGAGGACGGGAGAGGGCGCGGGCGGGCGGGGGAAGACGGAGAGCAGCAGCGGGTGCCAGAAGTCGTGAATCAGGGCGGTGATCTCCGGCAGGTACTTGCGCATGTGCTGCCGAACGATGCCGACCAGCTGCGCGAGCTGCCAGAAGAGAAACTCCCTGAGGCTCTCATCACACGCGCGCATCACGTGGAACAACTCAGGGAGCACTCTGGGGAGGAAGGGCACGCAGGCCAGCCCCATGGTTCTGAAGATGAACATGAGAGAGCTGACCACTCGCAGGTGGTACGCTGCCAGGGCGCCGTCGCGCAGGATGCGGAGCAGGGCAGAGATGGCCACTGTGGAGTAGTACTCGTCGGTGAGCCCGCCTGACGAGGGCACGTCTGTGAGCGGGTCGTCGCCGCCCATGCCGCCCATGCGGTCGAAGCCCTGGAGCACGCGCGGGGGTTGTAGTGGTCCCACTGCCCCTCCTGCCGCCCCTGCTGCGCCCCCTGCTCCGCCTCCCGCCGCCCCGCCCCTCCCGCACCCTCCTCCCGCCCCTCCTCCTCCCGCCGTTCCCCCCGCTCCTGCTCCCCCACCCCCCGTGCCTCCCCCTGCCACACCCCCGCCACCCCCACCAGCGCCTCCCCCTCCCCCGGCGTCCCCCCGGCCGTCCACGCCCCCCTGGGCGGCCATGGCTTGCGGCAGCAGCAGCAGGTGGTTGCGCTTGTTGACGTGCGGGTCCAGGGCGCCCAGAATCCCCAGCACCTGCAGCACCGACCGCCGCATCGACCACGCCAGCTGCCCGTTCAGCATCGACAGAAGTAACCCCAATAGTTGGGGGTAGTGGCGGTACGGCGCGACAACGCACCCCGTGCTCTCCACCACCTGCCCCAGCGTCACCACCGCCACCTCCCTCCTCTCCCCCGGCCCCGGCCCCGTGGTATCATGCAAGGAGTCGACTATGAGAGGCATGAGGTCGGGCACGTAGGGCGTGAGTGCACTCCCCGCCACCTTCGCCAGCTCACCTACAGTCGCCAGCATCGATGCCACCACCCCGCTCGTCCCGCCGCCCCCCACCGTCCCCACCGCAGCCGCATGCGCGGCGGACACGGCTTTAAGTCGCGCGACAAACACCTTGAGGATGGGCGCGATGTACGGTGCAACGAGCGGCGTGCACGAGTGGATGAGGCACCGCAGCAGCCGCGCGCCGTCCTCCCGCAGCCGGCTGTCCCCGCTGTGCTCCACGTCCCCCAGCAGCCGCACTAGATGCCGCCGCAGTGCCGGGAGAACGTACGCCGGGTTCCGGGCGGCGAGCCGCCCGGCGAGGAGAACGGCCTGCTCTCGCACGTCGTAGGTTTCGTCGTTTAGCGCGATAAAGAGCGCGCGGAGGCAGTCCGGTTGCGCCAGGAAGGAGTCCAGTGCGGTGGAGGCCGGTGCGGAGAGGCACGCGAGGACGGCCTTGCGCACGCCGGCGTCCACGTCAGCAACGGAGGAGACCAATAGGCGTTCCAGCATGTCCTCTACTATCCCCCGGCGCTTCTTCCGCATGCCCGGCTGTAGCAGCAGCTGCTGCGCGATTCGCTGGACCTTGAGTGCCGCCGCGCTGCTGCTGCCCCGCCCGCTGCCGGCCCCCACGCCGCCCGAAACAACCCCTGCCGCCCGTGCACCCCCTCCCCCGCCGCCAGCAGTGCTTGAGGCTGAACCCGCGCCGCCAGGGTCTGCTTGGGCCGCGGGGGAGGGTGCGGGGGAGGGGGAGGGGGGCGCGGAGAGGGCGGAGGCGGTGTGGGCGAGGACGTGCGCGCAGCACACGGCGGCCTCCCTCCTGGTCGCCACGTCATCATCCTCCAGGTACCTTGCCACGTGTACACGCGTCAGCTCCAGCAGGTCGTGCCCTGATAGGTCAAACGAGTACAGCGTGCACAGCGCCAGCTGCGTTACTCCCGCCATTGATAGTTCCCCCGCCACGCTTCCCCCCGTTCCGCCCCCCGCGCTGGTCCCCGCTCCGCCGCCCCCCCCGCCTGTGAGCGCGCCGCTCGCCAGGCTGCTCAGGCTGGCGCTTCCGCCGAGCGTCAGCGAGCCCCCGGATCCGCTTCCGCCTCCGCCTGCGCCCGCGGGCGGGCGCGCGCCCGTCAGCGAGCCGAACGCGCCGCCCGCGCTGGTTCCGATCCGCGCGGAGGGCTTGCGCGCGAGGACGGCGGTAATGGCCTCAATGAGCTGTGATTGGACGAGCGGCTTGAGCGCGGGGAGGTGCGCGGAGATGTGCGCGAGCGTGTGCACGAGGGGGAGGGAGAGCCCCGTGTGCAGGCACACGGGGAGCAGCTCGCGCGCAACCTCGCGCATGTCGTCCCCCACCGCCGCCACTAGCTGCCCCACGCACGTCAGCGCCTCCACCGACGCGCGCCCGCGCCGCGGAGTCAGCGCCTCGCGGAGGAGCGCGGAGATCGCGGGGAGGTACGGGCGCAGAGCGGGCCCGACGGCGCTGGCCATCTCGCCGAGCGCCGCGAAGCCCGCGTCGCGATCGGCGGGGTTCTTCATGACTCCTAGGAGGTGATCCATGCATATCTTTAAATAGCTGCTCACGAAGCGATCGCGGAGGAAATGCGCGATGCGCGGCAGCAGCGCGGTGATGGATCGGCGGATGAGGCGCTCGCGATGGTCGCGATACTTGAGAACAATGTTCGCGACTTCCTTGTAACGCGCCATCATGAATTCGCCAGTGTTGCGAAGCATTTCGCCGATCGCGAGCAGCGAGCCGTGGATGCTCTCGACGCTCGCGCTGCGCTGCAGCCCTTTCTCGGTCTCCTCGAATAGTCGATAGTAACCCTGCACGCGCCACCGCGTCTCGCGCTTCTCGATAACGCGCAGGCACGCGCGCAGAGCCTCCACCGCGCGTTCCCGCACCGCGAGCTTCGGGTCGCGTAGTGCCGCCCAGATGACGTCAATGAATGTCGGGACGTGCACGTTGAAGACCGTCGGCGCGTTCGCCGCCATTTCCTTCAGTATAAGGACGGCCGCGTATCGCCGCGCCTCTACGCGCTCCCCTTCGAGCCATCTCAGCGCCTCCTTCACCTGAAACTCCACCACGTCAGCAGCCATCGCGCCGCCCGCGCGTGCCACGTGTCCCAACGTCGCCGCCGCCGCGGAGATCGTGTCAGCATCCGTCTTTTCCTCGAAGATTCGCCGCAGGAACGACGCGAAACGCGACGCCTTGGCCGCGCTCTCGCCGAGCGGCACGTCAATCAACTCGTCGATCGCGTGAACGGCGCCGAGATTATCGGACGGCGAGGTACTCTCTACAAGCACGTTGATCCGTTCGTATAACGTGTCCATGAAACGCGTGAACGCCTCGCCGCTGAGATCGCGCGCCTCCTCCTCCACGTGCTGGCGCAGCGTCAGCGCGCCCTCCTCCTTCGCCGCGTACGGCGTGCGCGTACACAGCTCCGCCAGCAGCCGCCGCAGAATGTCCGCCGCCGCCCCCCGCTCGCCGCTTCCGCCCGAGCCCCCGCGGCCTGTCCCGCTCTGTCCCCCGCCTCCCCCTGCTCCGCCTCCCCCCGACGTACCAGAATGCGCCATTGCGGCCATTGCCGCGCGGCGTTTGGAACCACTAAGATATATGTCTCTTAATAGCTAGCCCGTATACATCGCACGGTGACATACGCACGATCCGTTAGGAGCGATGATGACGCAATAAGTCTCTAAATCGTTGACTGTTGACAATACCTGTCACCTAGGTTCCACATCCCCATGCGGTGTGATTTTTTTTTTTGTTGAACGAGGGAAAATTGGAGCAGGCCGGGAAACGGCCATACGCGCTGTGACTCGGTTCAATTGCAACTACTGCAAACATAATCATACAGAAATCATTTCATAGAAAGAGTCAATCTGTTGTAAGGAAATCAGCACAAAAGCCATTACTCTCCACCAACCAGACCAGCGATGTCAACTCCACAACAGACCTCTCGCTATCACACACATCATAAGCAAGCGGCCTTATTAGTGCCGCAGCAGCTAAGGTAGCACGCTCCTGCAATCACCCCCTTCCATCCCCTCCGTGCCGTCGTGTCGTGTCGTGCCCCCACAGTCCCCCAGTGGCACCGTGTCCCCCAGTGGCACCGCGTCACCCACTCCTCGAATGCCGCTTACCGGCCAAGGCGGCAAATGGCGCAATTTCCTTGCGGGACCGCGATTCCCGTTCATTCATCAACGCGCCTCGAATCATCAGCTCACTAGTTGCGGGTTGCCGTGCTGATACCACCGGCGGTGCGCGCCTCGTAGACAATGCAGCCAGGGAAGCAGCAGGCGGCTGCGGCCCGCAGGCGTGGGACGTGGCAGGTGGGGCGACTCGGCTTCAAAGGCGGCCGATGGGTGCGGTGGGCGACGCTTCTGCTAATACCCGTGGCGTATCTCCTAACTCTCCGCATCTACCTCCGTCTGCATCCGGGCGACGCGACCAGCCACGTCAGCGGCGCGGGCCACCACATGTCGCTGCTACATTTGCGCCTCAATCCCCGCGGAATGCGCGCGCTCATCCGCGGAGAGGGAGCTGCTGCGGCGGACGGGGGCAGGGGGAACGAGACGGGTGGGGGAAAGGCGGCGCTGGATGCGCTGATGGCCGAAGGCGCGGCGGTGAAGGGGAAGGCGGGGGGCGCAATGGGCGCACAGAGCGCAATGGCGCAGCTGGTGGCGGGGGAGGGGGAGGGGAATGGGACTGGAGCAGGGGGAGAGTTCGGGGGAAGCGGGGGGGAGGAGCTGCGGACGTGGCGGAGAGAGTGGCTGAAGGAGGGGCGGGCGCAGCGCAGGCGGGGGGATGCCGCGCGGAGGAGAGGCGAAGGGGGACAGCAATGGCGGGGATGGGCGGGATATGGCCCGGAAAATAAGGTGAGGGGGGAGGGTAGGGAGGAGGGAAGGGCCAGGAGGAGATGGGATGGGAGAGGGGAGGGGAGAGGGGAGGGGAGAGGGGAGGGAAGAGGGGAAGGGAGAGGGGAGGGGAGAAGGGAGGGGAGAGGAGAGGGGAGAGGGGAAGGGAGAGGGGAGGGGAGAGGGGAGGGGAGAGGGGAGGGGAGGCGAGTGGGTAGCAGGAGCGCAGCATTCGTTCATCCCTTAAAAAGGGGGCATGTTGGCGCATCCTTCCGCCTCTCTCTCTACCCGCCTCCCCGCCCTTCTTCCAGCTCTTCCCCCACCACAACCCCAGCTTCCCACCCCGGGCCTTCCCCCCAAAACACCCCCGCCCCAGCCCCCGCCACGGGCGCCCATCCGCCCGCCTTGAGGGAAGAGCACGTGGCCTCTCACGCTCCCCTCGCTCCTGCGCCGCCTTCTCCCCACACACACCCCTCCTGCCCTCCCCACACTCACCCCTCCTGCCCTCCCCACTCTCCCCCCCCCAGCACCCCTCCCCCTCCGACAATGCTTCCCTTCTCGCGCCCTCATTCCCTCCCCACGCAACATCTCACCCAGCCGCCCCCCCCCCCCCCCCCCCCCCCCCCCCCCCCCGTTTATAACCTCTGCCTGATGGGCGGAGCGCAGGATTCCCCCCACCTCATGCCCCCCACCCTTCTTCCCCCCCGCCCTCCCTCTTCTTGCCGTCCTTTCCCCAGCCCCCCCCATGCGTGGCCATCTGTCTGGCTGGCGGCGCACGCGAGTCCCATCTGACCTCATTCCCCCCACCCTATTTCCCCCGCGCCCACCCCGCTCCCTTTCCAGCCCCCCCCTCGAGTGGCCATCTGTCTGGTGGGCGGCGCACGCGAGTTCCATCTGACGGCGCCCACGCTGCAGCGCCACCTGCTGCCCGCCTACCACTCGGCGCACGTCTTCCTGCTCGCCCCTCTGGACCACTCCGCCCACCGCCTCTCCCTCCTCGCCTGGCCGCAACTGGGGGCAGCGCGCCTGGGGGAACTGGGGGGGAGCGCGGGGGGAGCTGGGGGAGCGGGGGAAGGGGTGGGGGGAGGGGGTGAGCGGCGGGGTGGAGATTTTCCCAGGTACTCCCTGGTGCAGGTGAGCGTGCTGCCGGACGTGCCGGTGAATGAGACAAAAATCACCGACCGGCTGCTGGAGGTGGTGGAGGGCAGCGAGGCGCAGACGCGGCAGGGGCTGATGCAGCAGTTTAAAGCCGTAGAACTCTGCGTTACTGCCATCACGCGTTACGAGAAAACCCACGCGATCCGATATGATTGGATTCTGCGAACCCGCGTGGATGGGTATTGGATGGGCCCCCCGCCGCCCCTGTCGGTGCTGGATCCGATTGCGTACACGATTCCGGGCGGCAGCGACTGGGGCGGGCTGAACGACCGGCTGGGGATGGGCGGCAGGAAGGCCAGCTGGAAGGCGCTGAGACGGCTGAGCGTCTTGCGGCCGCTGGTGGAGCGCGGGGGGTACAGCGAGCTCAATGCGGAACGGGTTTACCTGGCGCAAATGGCGTTCCTGCAGGTGCAGGTGAGATGGGCATGCATGCGCGAGGGAATGCATGCGGGAGGGAAGGGGTTGGTTGAAGGCTGAGCACGCTGCGGCCACTGGTGGAGCGAGGGGGGTACTCTGAACTGAACACAGAGCGGGTTTATCTCTCCCAGATGGCGTTCCTGCAAGTGCAGGTGAGATGGACGGATGGAAGGCGGGCTGGAAGCAGTTGAGGAGGCTGAGCGGGTTGTTGGCGGTGGAGTGCCGTGAACGCATAGTGGATCTACCAGGCTTGGTTACTGCTCGTGCAAGTGCAGGTGAAGGAATGTGGAGAGAAGGTGGTGAGAGGAGCAGTGAGGGAAGCCAAGTGAGGGGTGGTGAGTGCCAGGGTGGGTGTGCCGCAGCGACTGGTTGCGAGAGAAGGTACGGTGTGGTGAGCATGCAAACTAAGGTGGAGTGAACGTGCGAGCACATGGGTCGGACTGTTTGTTAGTGGGCGACAAACAGTAATGCTGAGTGGGGAATCTTGCTGAGATTGCATCATCTGTGATGTATGTCTCCACACCTCGTTACCGCCCCCCATTCCACCCACCCCCCTCCCCCCGGTGGCGCAGTATGACATCCCCTTGTGCATCCTCACCCGCAGTAAGGGCCTTTCAGCCTTTCCACATGCTCTCCACCTCCCAGTCTTCCCATCTCCCCTCTTCCACTCTCCCCTCTTCCCATCTCCCCTCTTCCACTCTCCCCTCTTCCCATCTCCCCTCTTCCACTCTCTCCTCCCCCCCAACCCAGGTGGCGCGCTATGACTTCCGCTTCTGCATTCTGCACCCTCACCCCCCCCCCTGCCCTCCCCCCCCAACTCAGGTGGCACGATACGACTTCCCCTTCTGCATCCTCAGCCGCAAAAAGGGTCTGCCGGCCTTCCCTGTGGCTGCCGCCCTCTCCTCCACTGCTGCCGCCCTCAACGGCGCTAAGTGCCGCCCCTGCCGCCCCACCGTGGTCGGCGGGCAGGCCGCAAAATACATCCTCGCGCTGCCCGAGCGAATCTTCGGCGCGCAGCCACACGGGATCGACCTGTGCCGGGCAGAGGACGACTGGGCGGCAGACTGGCGCGAAATCTTCGATAAAGACGCAGGAGAGGTCCCAGCCGCCGCCCGGCAGTACATGGAAACGCGAACCTTTGATGAGTGTGTGGAAGACTGGCGCTACTTCCACCAGCAGGTGCCCGTCTGGAACGCACCTCCCCCAGTCTCCATCTGCGTGCGCGGGCTTCTAGGAAAGTTCCACAAGATGGGGTACCCGGGGGGGGATTTCCCGGTGTTTCTGGACCCGTGGGTGGGGGCGCGGGGGGAGGCGCGGGGGAGGAAGCCGGTGGTGTATTCGTCAGTGGCTGGGGTGGACTACAGCTTTGACTGGGCGCTGATGCGCAAGCTGCGGTGCCGCGTGCACGCGTTTGACAGCACGCCTGAGGGCATGCGGTGGATCGGGGACAAGATTGACAACTTGCCGCCTGCCTCATGGGTGCACCATGCGTGGCTGCTGGCACCGCATGACTGGCCTTTGCAGGTAGTCTGCTTTGCGCAATGCACATGTGTGTGTGTGCATGTGTGTGTGCATGTGTGTGTGCATGTGTGTGCATGTGTGTGTGTGCATGTGTGTGCATGTGTGTGCATGTGTGTTTGCAATGTGTGCATGTGTGTGTGCATGTGTGTGCATGTGTGTGCATGTGTGTGTGTGTGCATGTGTGTGTGCATGTGTGTGTGCATGTGTGTGTGCATGTGTGTGCATGTGTGTGTGCATGTGTGTGTGCATGTGTGTGTGTGTGTGTGCATGTGTGCATGTGTGTGTGCATGTGTGTGTGCATGTGTGTGTGCATGTGTGTGTGCATGTGTGTGTGCATGTGTGTGTGTGTGGGGGGGGGGGAGGGGGGGGATGGGAGGAGTCAAATGAGACCTCAATGCAGCGCATGAGCATGGGTTGGTGACACGTGTCAAGGCTAGCACGCCCGTGCCTGCTTTTGTGCGGCATGGGTCCTGACTGACTGCGACAGCGGCGGCTGTAGCCTGTAACCCCATGATTGTTCTCTCTGCCATCACCTTGCCTCCATCTCACCTCACCATTCATGTTTTCATGTCTCCCCATCACCATGCTTCAGGGCGCCCCTCCCCCACCAGTTGAATCCAGTAGACATTGAGAGCACACCTTTGGAAGCCAAATAACATCCCTCCCCCTCTCCCACAACTGTCCACTCCCAGGGGTATCCAATGTACCCGATAGAATACGACGTTTGGCCTACAGCCCCACATGGACACCCTGTGAGGCAAAACAACCCCCTTTTCCAACACCTGCCCACCCCTCATACAGTCACCACCAGGTGTAGCCTCTAGACATCGAGGGGCACTCGGTTGAATACGCCGCTTGTGAAGAGTCGATTTTTGAGTCGACTAAAAAATCGACTCATCACATGCAGCCCCAGGTAGACACCTCCTGAGGCAAAGCCACAAGAAGCCCCTTCTGCCACAACCCCGTATTCCCTCCACCTCCACCATCTGCCACCAGGTGTACCCTTTAGACGTCGAGGAGCACCCAGTTGAATATGTCGTGACCTACCTGCCCCACATGGGCAGATTTTGAGTCAAGCAACTCCCCCCCCTCTCCCCCCCCGTGTATTACCAGGTGTACCCGCTGGACATCGAGGAGCACCCGGTGGAATACGCTGTGGCCCTGCCGCCCCACCTGGACGCGTCGTCGCTACCACCGCCCATCCACGTGGAGGCGATGACAGTGGAAGGCACTATGAAGCTTCTCAACCACTCCATTGTGGACATCATGAGGATAGGTGGGCACGTGTCGCTGCATGAAGCCATCTTCCAAGGGTGGATCCACGCCAAACGCGCTCCGCCCGTCTGCCAGGTGTGCATGTGTATGGGGGAGCTGGGGATTGACTGGAGTTTCCGCAAGTTCTCCTCGTATCTTCCTTCCATCGCCTCGCATTTTTCTCCACCTCATTGGCCCAGCTTGTCTTCCCTTACGCCCACGAGTTATCGAGCTCACTGTGTCATCCACTCCTCATGCCACCCATCAGATCATTGTGTCGTTCCACCATGGGGACAAGCACTACGGGAGTGTGGAGACGCAGCAAGAACTACTGGCCTTGCGCTCTTTAGGGCTAGAGCTAGGCGTGTGTATAAGAAAAGATAACTTATATGAGAGTTGTGTGCTGTTCTCGGTACACCATTGCAAGTATGATATCACATAATGCAATGATTTGTTGCGTTTGGCACATCCAATCAGAAGATGACTTAGGAAGGCAATCGTCCCCGTAAAAGAATTGCCATGTGTTTCACTGATGTGCTTCAATGGTGGAATTGTACATATTTAAACGGCAAGACTCATTTGAAAGCCATATGATGGGGTTTTTAAGATGTAATGGTCCTTATGAGCCTTGCAGCAGAACATCATCCTTCTAACTTCCAAACTTAGGAGAGTGACGCAAAAATGGATTTCAATGTGAGTCTGTTTATGGTTGTTAAGCTTTGCCTAAACAAGAGTGTAATAGGAACACTATCTGAGGTTTGGGTGGTGTGAGCATGGTTGCTTCAGCGCCGGTCAATCTGGGTTTGTGGAAGGACACGTTTCTGCCCATCAATTACCCAGGTCTTTGAGGAAACGCGAAGGATATCTCAGGAGGTGTTGAAACTCCCGAGAACTGGTTGCACACTTCAGTGGTGAAACTACCAGGAGCAAGTTTCCACGTCAAACTTTTAAGCGACAGTTGGGAAACACAGAATACAGATGACACAGATGACGCAACCCTCCTTTGCTGGAACATTTCAGGCTACCATCACCTGTACACCCTTCTAGTGTACAGTGCTCTGTTCGGAACCCCCTTAACCGAGTCGCGGCTTGACCTTTTCCATTCGTGCGACGCGTGATTTCGCGGATTGAACCAGGACGTGAGGCCTATTCTTGCGCTGTGCACTCATCGCGCCACGGTCTGGTACACCTCCACATCCCCATTCAAAGAGCTCTATCAGTTCTCTGATTGGTTGGTTGATGATTTCAACTGCAGCAAGCCCCTCGCCCGCATCGCTGTCCAATCAGAGCCCCCGTTCCCAGTTTTTCGCCCCCTTGCCATATCCCGCACAACATGCCCTCCATCGCCCTGCCATACATAGGCCTTACGCAGACAGTGCAATATATATTCCACTCCATAAAACCAACCTCCACCAAACTAGCGATACACCCTAGTGTGCTTGTGCGATTGACACATATCTCCTCTCGATTCTTCGTATCTCGATCGACTAGGACCACGCAACGCTCCGCTCTCTAGTTTCTCCAAGCTCCTTCCGTCTTACGCCATGGCCGTGGCAACGCAGATGCCGCCCTACGACATGGGGGCCGACGGCGCTCCTCTACGCAAGGCCTTCAGCACTCCCAAGCCCAACCGCGTCTCCCGTTCGCCCAGCCCCGTCCCCCAGAAGTCAGTTCTGCAGCCTCCAGCACGCCCAGCCCAGCCACAGCAACCCGCGCTCCAGTCGCAAGGGTCCTTCGGTAGGCAGCAGCAGCCGCCGCTCTATGTTCCTCTCCAGCAGTCTGGTGCCGCCGCGCCGTACAAAGTCGATGGCATGGCGGAGTTGACCTCTGCTGCCTCCGCTCCTCCCGCCGTGGCTCCCGGCGGCCTGCCGTCACCAAAGTCGGTGTTCGCTAATCACCCCGGCTCACCGCAGCGCACCGTGGTTGATAGCCTCTTCAAGCCGGTCGCTCCCGCCGCAGAGCTCGCCCGGCCCGGCTCTCCCGGCGCAACTGGCGAAGCCACACCTCCACAGGCCAAGCCGTTTGGAGGAAACTCGCTTTTCAAAGCGGCGGAGGTGGGAAACATGGTGATGCAGCAGCAGACGGCGATGCAGGTGGCGCAGATGACGCAGCAGATGAACCACATGCTGGCGGAGCTCACGGCGCTCCGCTCAACCGTGGCGGAGCTGCAGGTGCAGGTGCAGTGCGCCAAGGCGCAGGCGCAGTCGCAGGCGGTGGCGCAGAGCGAGGCGCGCGGAGCGCTGAAGGAGAGCGCGCAGCAGGTGAAGGACGCGCTGCAGGAGGGGCTGCTGGACGTCAAGGAGCTCATTTCCTTCAAGTGAGTTCCACGGGCTTGTTTGGGTTGCCGCGTGACATGAGTGAGATTATGAGACGCTCAAAATCGTTCGAGAAGGAGTTCGTCGGCTTTTGCTGCTCGTGTCATCTGGGTCGCTTCACACGTAATTACTCATAGGCTAATCGCTCAGCACGCGTGACTGTGAAGCGAGTACCTAACGGCGCTTCTCCCTCTTCCCCTTTCCCCCTCGACTCTCGTTCCGCCGCCTTGGCAGGGACGCGCAGCAGAAGGCGCGGCTGTTCAACTCGTTCAGCACGCGCGACCGCGACCCCATGGAGCGCGTGCCTAACGACGCCGGCGAGCTGCCGGTTAGATTCCCGACTACCCGGAAGGAGCTGACGGCCATGTCGCTGGATACGATGCAGTACCTCTTCGAGTTCTACCAGCTGCCCAAGGAGCCGCAGGACACGCTGTAAGTTCGCGCCTTAACTCCTCGTTAAGAGCCGATCACATATCTCCGCTGTAAGAAGTAACTGGCCTGGGCACGATGAACCATCTTGCTGGGTCTTGAAGTCCCCTGGGACACGCGGGATGTCGCGTCTAACTTCGCGCCTTCGGAGTAGGCTAACCCGGCGGTGGGTGTAGATGTCTCGTCTACACTGCCCACGCCCTCGGTTCCTCGCACTGCTGCCGCGCGACACCACTAACCCGCCTCTTGTGCTTTTCTCGTGCTTTTCTCGGCCCCGTGTGCTTCCCCCTCTCCGCACCCGCTCTCCCCCGTTCAGCTACGACCGTCTGATGAAGCACATCGGCGTGCGCGTGTAGCTGCCAGTGCGCGAGCCTCGAATGACCCAGCAAGGCGACAGGCGTAAACGACCGCTCTACAAACAGACTCGAAATACATAGCAGATAGGTTGGGGTGGCAAAACCTCGCCTAAGAGGTGCACTCCATAAGGCAGTGGTTATACCAGGCGCTAAGCTAGTCAACTCCATTATTATACAGTTGCAATGAAAGTGTTTGGGATATTCAGAACATGGTGTAAATGTACTGAGTTTTTTTTTTCCCAGGATCACTTTATTGTGAACAGAAACATACAGCCCTAAAACTACGAAATATGGCAAGAGAGTACAATCACAATGTCAGCATTCACATGCAGTGGAAGTTGCCAGTCACACCTGCTGCCCCTGCTGCTGTGCCTGCAATGGCAGCAGGATGGGCAGCTTGGGGGTCCGCTCCGGCAGCACCACTCCCTGTGCCAGCCCTTGCTGCTGCGACGCTGCTGGCGAAGCTGTGTACATGCCTTGCTGCCCTGGCTGTTGCCCCTGCCCCTGCTGCTGTCCCCCTGCCTGCTGCCCCTGGTGCTGTTGCTGCAGAGCGTGCAGCTGGGAGGGCAGCAGCATGGCAGGCAGGGGCGAGGAGAGCGGCTGCTGGGAGAGAGACGACATGCCCGACCCCACTGCCACTCCTGGCGATGGCGTCACTGCTGCTCCCATGCCCGCTGCTGCTGCTGCTACTGTACCCTCCTTGTCATTTAGTGCTGTTATTAGCGCTGGCTGCAGCAGCAGCTGGTGCGGGAATGAGTGTGAAGGGGAAACACAACACGGCAGGATAGGAACAGGAAACACAAGATGTACATAGTCAACTTGTCAAATTGATCAAGTCAAGTTACACGCTGCGCAGGCAGCTCAAGTTGCCTGGCACGAGCATGTTCGCATGCCCCACACATGCTCACCCCACCCATGCTCACCCCACACATGCTCACCCCACACATGCTCACCCCACACATGCTCACCCCACACATGCTCACCCCACCCATGCTCACCCCACACATGCTCACCCCACCCATGCTTGCCCCACACGCCCACCCCTTGGTACAAGGGATGAGAGCCCCCCACCTAGCTGTTCCCCCAACCTCACCTGCAGCTCTCTCTGTCTCGCTGCAAGAGTCTCCTGTGCCTCCTGCACCCTCGCCACCGCTGCTAATGCCTGCATGAGCACAGTGGGAGGCAGGGCAGTGAGGTGAGTGCTAATGACCGGGCAGTCACCCTCGCCATGGCTGCTAATGCTAACGCCTGCATGCACAGTGGGACGAAGGACAGTAATGGGCTGAACACACAGGTCGCAAACGCACTGCGCCCCCAATACATATGCTTTAGAATGTCCTACAAATATGCTTTAGAATGTCCTACAAATTTTCACAAAAGTAATCCTGTACAACATTGCAGATCTCCACTTCCCTCTCACTGCCCTCCCACCTCGCTCTGCATAGAAGCCCTTCCTTTCCCCTGCTGCCACCACCTTACTTTCCCTTTCTCCCACTTATCCCCTCTCCCATCTTCTCCTTCCCGTCTCTCCCTTCCTCTCTCTCCATTCCTCCTCTCCCTCTCTCCCTCTCACTACCTTCCCTCCTGTATTGCCCTCCCACCATGCTGTGTGAGACAATCCGCTCTGTCCCCTGCTGCCACCCGCCTCTTCCATTCCCTTTCTTCCACCCTCCCTGCCTCCCTCTCTCCTCTCCCTTCTCCTCTCTCTCCCCCTCGCCTTTCATCTCCCCCTCGCCTTTCATCTCCCCCTCGCCTTTCATCTCCCCCTCGCCTTTCATCTCCCCCTCGCCTTTCATCTCCCCCTCGCCTTGCATCTCCCTCTCTGCCTCTCCATCCTCTTCCCAATCCCTCCCACCACCCTCTCTGCCATCTCACTACCTCTCACCACCCTGCAACCCTCCATCGCACCACGCGCCTTGTTGTGAAGCGCCAGCCAGCCACCTGCTTCTTCCCTTCCTCCCCCATCCCCTCTCTCCCCCATCTGTCCCGCTCACCAGACTCCCCTCCCCGCCCACCTTGCTGTGAAGCGCCAGCTTCTCCTCGTACCCAGCAGCCACCTGCTTCTTGGCCGCCTCCAGCACCTGCCAGTGGTGGTGCCGCCCGTGGTGGTGTTAGTTCCGTGGCCATGGTGGGAGTGTAAGGAGCATCAGGAGTGGTGGCGTGGCGAGTGTGGTGGGCATGGTGGAAATGGTGGGACTGGTGTAAGTGTCTTGAGTGGTGGGATTGTCTCGAGTGGTGGGATTGACGGTGTTGGATGTACGGGTTGCCATCATTTGAAGATGCATGTGATGAATGTACCTTCTCCCCTTCCCAGCGCACCTTGCGTCTCCCCTTGCCATGCACGCACCTTGATGCGCTCCTTGAGGCTCACTTCCGTGGCCGTCGCCCTCTGAAGTGCCTGCTCCAGCTGCTGCATCTGCACCACCCACCCACATGCACGCATGCATCAGCACACACACACACACATGCAAACACCCGCCCACACACGATTCGCACAGAAATGTTTGTTGACCGAGACAACGAGTCTGAAACAAGCCAATCAATGATCATGCAAGCAAAGAAAGGACACAACCGCCTGCTTCTCTCGCCTCCGTTCCCTGACCGACATGTGCATACTCTCCTGTTACACTCACATTCACATTTACACTCGCATTCATAATCACACTCACACTTACCTTCATAATCACTATCACACTCACACTTACACTCATACTCATAATCACACTCTCACACACACAGCCATCCAATCACCTGTGCTGCCACACTCTGCTTCTCCCGCCTCGCTCGCTCCACTGCCTCCCGCAGCGCCTCCAGCGACTCGCCCCCTGCACCCCCCTGGCCCCCCTGACCCCCTTGACCCGCTTGTCCCCGCGCCCCCCTTCCCCCCTCCCCCCCTGCGCCCTCCCTTGGTTGACCGTGAGGTGCCTGGCGCTGCTGGCAGAAAGGCGGGCATGGGATGGCAAGCGAGGTACACGGGTAACGGCAAACAAGAGAAAAATGCAATGGCATGGGATTTATCAACGATGTATAGTGGGAGGAAGAGCGGCGCAGAGAGAAACAAGAGAGCTGGAGACACGGAAGATGAACTAAAGAAGGACAATGCAGGAAGAGGAATGTTGTCAGATGTCCAAACACCACACGCCTATGACGCACCGCCACGTGTCCAGATGCCTCGGGCGGCATGCGCTCGTCCTCATCATACTCCCCCTCCCCTCGCCCTCGCCCCATATCATCCTCCCCTCCCCTACGCCCCCTTGCCCCTGGCCCTCCCCCCGGCCCTCCCCCATTGCTGCGCCCAGCAGGGGGGTGGTCGGGGGAAGCATAGGGGCTGCCCCCTCGGGGGCTGCGACTGCGATCTGCCAGGCAAAGGGGGAAGGCGCAGGAGGGGGAAGGGGGACGGGGGGGCGTGGGGGGAGCGAGGGGGGAAGGGAGGATGCGTGGGAAGAGGGCTGAGAATGGAAGGTTCGTTCAAGGGGAAGACGGAGGGAGGAATGGTGGGAAGAATGCAAGGAAACTGGTGCGAGGGGATGAAGAAGATGGGATGGAGGCGAGAGGACGGAGACGAGGAGGTGCGCGTTCTGTGGCAATGCATGCGAGGAGAGATTTCCTCTCAGGAGATAGAACTGTCTGACGTGATCAAGTGTAGTTTGACAACAGGGCAGGGCGGTAGGGCATGGGAGAGACGAGGGCGAGGGAGAGAGGCGGGTGAGGGAGAGTCGCGGGAGTGAGAGAGACGAGGGCGTCAGTAGGAGGAGGTGGGCGAGAGGTTTCACTTAGGGTTGAGGGGAGAGAGACGCTTACAGCGGACGCGAGACGGCGGGGAGCGGGAGCGGCGAGGTGGGGACATGGAGGGGCGGCGAGCAACGCTGCTGCAGAGAAGAGCCAAGGGGGGAGGAAAGGTTCGAGAGGGATACTTTTGATCAGTTTTCTGTCACAGTAGGGGCGTTTGCAAGCTGGCACACAAAACGGTGTCTAACAATAAATGGACCTTCAAGATGCAGAAGCTGAAGTCTGAAGGTGCACCACGCAAGCAGCACCTTTACAGATACACAAAGAAGTATAATTATCCATACAGAGTCGGCCTAAGAGATACTGCGAAGGAACCCAGGAGTCCAAGAGCAGGCTCACTCACCCTCGGGGCCGGTCGCGGTCGCGCTCGAAGGAGGACTGGCGGAAGAAGCCCCCGTCTCCCCGCCTGCGCACCTCCGACACCTTGATTGGCCGCCCGTCCACTATCTGGTGGTTGGGCCGCCGCCCACACACGGGGCAGCATGCACAGCACACACACAACCAGCACACATATCCATGTTTGAGTAAGCACAAACAGCAGGGGGAAGGAAAAGTAGACCGTGGAATAGCAAGATCGTGTGCTGCCAAAGAGGAAAAGAGGCTCGATTCAGCCGAGCGACTCCTTTCCTCACCATCCATAATCTTCATTGCTCATCCTACCCTTCATGGCCTACCTAACCCCCTCGCCTCACCATTCATATACTTATAATATTGCTTCACCTCACCGTCCATGTCTCACCTCGCCGCCCATGGCCTTAAAGCCCGCCACACCTCGCCTTCCATGGCCTTGAAGCCCGCCTCACCTCGCCGCCCATGGCCTTAAAGCCCGCCTCACCTCGCCGTCCATGGCCTTGATGGCGTCCTGAGCTGCCTTGGGCGATGCGAAGGTGACGAAGCCAAAGCCCCTCGCCTTGCCCGTCTCCCTGTCGTATATCACCTGCCAGACACAATAAAAGGCCACCGGCAACACGCAGGCAGGTACAAGCAGCACGGACGGAGAGCGGAGTGTGAAGATTATGAAGTAACTCCGAGCCTTGCCTGTCTCCCTGTCGTAGATCGCGCACGCAGCAACAGACCACATGCAGGCAGCAACAAGCGGTAAGCTGCACGGACAGGGAGAGCAGACGGGAGAGCCAAGGGATAATGTGACAGATCACGATTCACGACGATGAAGCAGAAGCTCCCGCCTTGTCAGTGTCCCTGTCGTAGGCTGTGAGCGCGCAGCAAGTGGCAAGGGAGCAGATCACTTGGACGCGACGAGGCACTCGCGAATTCGATTAAAGGTCGGGTAACCCGATCTTCGCGAAATGGCCTGGAAGAGCCGAGCAACGGTAGCCAAATCGTAACCGCGACGCCGAAGCTATAGTTGCGGTGGAGTCATCGTTACTGTTACCGTGCGGACGAAATTTCCCTGGCGATGAAGTTACCTTCGCGGAAAGGACTTCGCCGAACTCTTCGAAAACCTTCTTGATGGCACCCTCGTCGCTGTCGAAGGGCAACCCGCCCAGATACACCGTGTGCCCCTCCTCCGACGCCATGCTGCCGTCGCACGCGTCGCAGCCGTCGCACTCGTCGCCGGGCTCACCGGGACAGGGAGACCAAAAAAACGGAAGAGGAGAGGCACGCTATGAAACTTGATCGGAAAGAGAGAGAAACTCAGACGAATGGTGGAGAGGGAGGGACGTGGAAGCCGAGTATGGAAGGGGTCGTGGGGGTGACGAGGAGATCTCTAGGTGGTGCTGCGTGTGATGGGTGGTGGGGCGCGATTAGGAGATCCCGAGAATACACTGTACAGGTATCGCGCGACTCGCACACTTCAGGCGACCTTCAGCAGGATTTCAAGGGTGCTTTTTCGGGAATAGGCGTTCGATATTGCCGACCTCTACATGAGGAACAATTCTGAAAATACGTTCAATCAAATCAAAGATGTTTCGCGCAGCACTTTCTTTCGTCTTGCTCATAATAAGGCACATCATATTCATTCTCTTTCATCGCCCATAACTTGATTACATCGGGTACGAAATTCTGAAGCCAATTCGTCCGCAAACCTCAACACTGGCGACTCACTACCGCCCACTACACTGCCACCCTGCTTGCGTCGGCTCCCAATGCAAAGCTGTAGTGAAGTATCTGTGGCTGGTGGCGTGGCTGGTGGGGCTGGAGGCAGCTTGGCATCAGGTAATGGTGGTGTGCATTGAATGCATTGGGACGGCATGGCATCAGGTAATGGTGGTGCACTGTCACAACATGGGGATGGCATGGCATCCTGCACTGATGTCACACAGTCACCACATGGAAACGGCATGGCATCATCCACTGACGTCCCAGAGCCATGCGTGTGTGATGATGCAGCACGGAGATGTGCTTCTTTCACTCCGAGTTCTCTGCTTGACTCCACGAGGCGGCTGAACTGCTGCAGCAGGGAGCGGCGAGCGGTGTTCAGTGCTGCTGCCTGCTGCCTGCACACATGTGGTGGGGCTGCTGGCATGGCATGCACACAGGCACACAACATGGCACAGACGAACAATGCGAGAATTGGCAGGCGTCGGGGGAGAAGGGAGCTTGGTTGGGGTGAGAGTGGTGGACAGGCATGCATGATGCATTGTGGCACCTCCTTTCATGCCAACCATGAGTCATCGCACCCAACCACATCGCACCCAGATCATTCAGATGAGAAGCATCTGTTTGTTGGAGAGCTTTGGATTCGAATTGACAAAGAAAGGAAGAAAGGAAAAGTTCAAATTGAAAAAATACATACTTTGTACACCAATACACGAGCAGGGAAAGCGCACTGGCAAACTGATGAATGGATAAGTGACGAACCCTTGCTCGCCAGAGATGAATCTGGACCCTTGCCACAATCCCTTGCTCTTTCTCCCCTGCGCTGAACTCGCCCCCTGCTCGCAACTCACCCGCTGCACCTGGGGATTGCACGGGGCAGTGGGCAGTACGGGGCAAGCAGACCCTGGGGACCTTGACTCACCTGCCGAACCTGAGGATTGCCTCAGGGCGTGTGAGAGGATCTTCCTCAGCCGCAGGTCAAACCCATGCACTGCATTGCTGCCTGCGCTGCTGCTGCTGCTGCTGCTGCTGCTCCTGCTGGTGCTGCTGGTGCTGGTGCTGGTGCTGGTGCTGGTGGTGCCGCTGCTGTGGGTGGCATGGGTGATAGCAGCGGTAAGGGAGCGGCGCCAGAGAGAAAAGAGGGCTTCAAGGGCCCTTGCACTGCACGCAGGAGGGAGAAAAAGGGCGGGGGGGGATTATGGGGATGACGGGTTGAGGCACGGAAGTGGAGGGCGAGGGCTGGCGGTGAAAGGTTGAGCAGTGGTTTGTGCGTTGCTGCTGGTGCTGGTGCTGGTGAAGGGAGCAGGTGGAGGGGAGCAGGTGGAAGAGAGGAGGTGGAAGAGAGGAGGTGGAAGAGAGGAGGTGGAGGAAGGTGCATCAAGAACACATTGCAAACTCTTTTCATTAACTCACTCACTCAACCCCTCCCTCTAACCCTTTCCCTCTCCTGCGCATTCTCACCTTCCCCCTTCCAAACTCACCTCTTCCCATCAGCCTCCCTCTCCTTCTCACTCATCCCCTCCTCCCTCACCTCACGTCCGCCACCTCCCCCACGGCCACACCACCCAAGTCCACCGCCACGCACCGCCCCGCCTCCCACTCGCCCCGCCGCGACCAGCACAGCACCCCCGAATCAGCAGCGTCGGCTGAGCAATTGCCCCCTTCTCGCCCGCCCTCCCGCTCTCTCCCCTGACCGCCCTCTGCTCCCACCGTGCCAGTACTTCCCTCCCCTGCTCTGTCCACACATCCCCCGGGACCCACAGTCACCACTGGTACCCCTCGAGGCGGCTCAAGGCGGACGGCGATTCGGCGGATCACGGCGGACGGCAGACGGGCGGTGGGAGGGCGGCGCGCGTTGCGGGATATGCACTGGTCCAGGGGCGTGGTGACGTGGAGGATGAGACACGTGGCACCATCTGAGTGGGCAGGAAGCAGAGCAGATCACACACTTGCAGACAGGGGGAGGGGGAGGGGGCAGGTGGAAGGTGGGAAAGGGAGGGTGGGGGTGGGACTAATTACAATGGAATCCGTCATATGGAAGCCCGTGCTTCAATCAATTCGTTCAACATGAAATGTGGACATCCAAGGGGCATCCATGGGGGCACAGCACACAAGCCGGCATGCACGTAGGTAGGTATGCATGTGAGCATCTACGCATGTGGGCATGTATGCATGTGAGCATGTATGCATGTGGGCATCTATGCATGTGGGCATCTATGCATGTGGGCATCTATGCATGTGGGCATGTATGCATGTGGGCATCTATGCATGTGGGCATCTATGCATGTGGGCATGTATGCATGTGGGCATCTATGCATGTGGGCATCTATGCATGAGGAGTGCGTATCATCTCACATGAGTGAGCGAGTCGCAGCAGCTGCAGGCGCATGGAGCGCAGATGCATGGTGTCGTCCGCAACGATCACGTGTTTCGGTACCCTCGCTTCCCCTGCTGCTGCTGCTGGCTCTGTTGCCTCTTGTGCTGCTGTACTTTCTGAATCAGCAGCGGCATCGCCGCCTCCCTGGCTGGCACGTGCGACGGCTGCAGTGAGTGCTGCGAGCGCCGTGACACGACTGGCCTGGCCATGCATGGGGCATGTGTGGGTGGGGGCATGTGTGGGTGGGGGCATGTGTGGGTGGGGGCATGCATGCACTGGGGCATGTGCGGATGGGGCATGTGCGGATGGGGCATGTGCGGATGGGGCATGTGCGGATGGGGCATGTGTGCGCCGCAGTCAGAGCAGCACAGCGCAGGCGGACGGGTAAAGTGAGGGCGTGATGGAGACCCCTGTCAGGAGCTGTAACGCTTGTGGGTTAGTGTTAAGGGCATTCCGCTGCGCCAAATAACACCCTCGTTTTGACCCAATGGGTAGCGAGGTGTTATAGGAGCAACGAGATCATTGGAACCACACGCGGATTGGAATAAAGAAATGCCTCTGTTGTCCACGTCAGCAATCCTCACCTTCCACTCATCATGGTTGAAGGAAGCACACGTGTCAGAAACTGCAACACCGCACACATTCCCTTCCTCCCCCACACTCTCCTCCCCCGCACTACCCTCCTCCCCCACGCTCCGCTCGTTTGTTTCGCCGCGCGCGTAGCTGTCGAACGACACGAGGGTCGTGTGCGCGCCCACCTGCGCACACACAAGTGGTGATCCGCATTGATCGGTGCGGTGCGGTGCTACATGGTAACAACCGAGTTGGCTGAGTCTCGAGACGTCTTCAAGAGCGACGGAGCAGGGGGGACGGCAGCGCGGGATAAAATGGGAGGTGAAGGGAAGCGGGCGCGGGATGATCGATGATCGCTCACCTGCCGCGCGAGTTGCGCGATGGCGGCGCAGAGAGTGCTCTTGCCCGCGCCCGGCAGCCCCATCGCCACCACCAGGAGCGGAGGTGGGCGGAGCAACGGGTTGGGCGGGGACGGTGGCGCAGCGAGCGGGACGATGGGGGAGATGGGGGAGGGAAAGGCGGAGGGGGTGGTATCGGGAAGGGGGTTGGGGGAGGGCATGTGGGGGGGTTCCATTGCGCGCGGAAACAGCCCCCGTAGGCCGCCGATGCCAGGGCCAATTGAACGCGGCTGTGATGGATGATCGAATCTACATCGTGTAGAGGCGGAGGCGTGCGTAGGTTACAGGTATGCGATGCAGTATAACGATGCGCGTTATCTGCCCCCTGAGCAATTAACTCGGTGCTCTTGCTACGGAGAGTCCATGTACAGATCAAGTGTGACACACGAACTGGCGGTGCTTTGTCAGGAAACGAAAGTGCTTATGCTCTGTTGTTACTGCACGAAATCATGACCTCCTCCAACAGCCATTGCGACGACGAGGTAACAGCGATTCGCGAGGATCATTTGGCAATCACAGAGGCCTGAAATTCCCGCCTGCGAGCTGGATGAGCGAAGGAAAAAGTGTTCGCGAAGCGTTTCTTCGTTATAACTTGACCCACAAGCAACCCGCGAAATTCTCGAACAATTTGTACGTTGTGGGATTGTGATTACTGCATCGGATTCATGACAACCACAATCGTTCCACATTAGTTTCCAATGATGACTTCTCTCGAGCTGCGTTGTGCCACGTGGAACTCCGCGCAACGTCACTTCCCCGTGTCCGCGAATTCGTCCGTCTCATCTCTATCGCCACCAGTCGCGCTTGCCCCTCGCGTATCACAGCGCTTGGTAGCGACAAGGAGTTGCGAATCTGGCATTCGAAGCAGCTTCTATGGCGGCGACAGAATCAGACTAAGCAGTCTGCCTGCCTGTCATGTCGTCGGTAGGAAGGCTCGCAGGGCGGTGCGGCCAGTGTCCGCAGTTGGCGGGGGCGGATCCGGCGAGAATGACGCGGACGGGAGCGCGAGGCGGAAGAAGGACGAGAGCATTCAGCTGTACAGCCGCATCGAGAGGTGCGTGGTCGTTGGAACCGGATAGTATTTGAACACAGAGAGTTACTGAAGGCTACTTGCGCTTAGGGCGGTAACTGAGGGTGATTAGTCGCCATGGTGGCACAATGGGCGGTAGTGCCTTGCGCCAGGTGCGTGCGTGGGGGGGACCGTGCGCCTGTGTGCAGGCGCGTGATATCCCACTAGTTGGGTCACATCTAGTCCACACAAATATTGTATTTTCGCTCTTACCAGCTTTCAAGTCATTTTTCTCCCTCTTCTCTGTGCCCTTGCCCCTTGCTCTTTCGCCCCTCACCACCTTCTCCCCCTCCTGTCCTCCGCCTTTCCCTCACCCCCCCAGCCTGATATCAGAATCGGCTCGGCAGTCCCAGGGCGCTGACGGGGCAGGGCAGTGGGAGGAGGTGGAGGTAAGAGGAGGGGGAGGAGAGGGCGAAACGCCAAGGAAAGAGATAGGGAGGAGGGGAGGAGAGTCTGGTGGAAAGAGAGTTGTGGAAGTGAGGGATAGGAGTAATTGAGCAGACAAGTGACGTGACTGTTGAGTCATGCAGGGGGACAATGCCTGCTGGAAGGACGACAAGTGCACGGCAGAGCGGCACACCACTGCCTTTCTCCCGCCCCCCTTATTTCCTTCACCATCCCTCAGTGCCTCCACTCTCTTCCTCGCTTCACCACTGCCATCCCTCTCACCCTTTCTCGCCCTTCTCCCTCGAATGGTCCTTATGTAGTACATATAGATACAACCAAGGTCTAACATGGCTAGGTAAGTTGCTACTACTGCAGCAGCGCTCCTCACCCACAGGGCGCGTGGGTACTGCGGCCCCGAGGCCCTCTGCAGGCAACAGCAGTGGCGCACGTTGCGGGAAGGGAAGGGGGCCGTGATGAGAGTCAACTCAGATATCACCTCCCTCCTTGATGAGAGTCAACTCAGATATCACCTCCCTCCTTGATGAGAGTCAACTCAGATATCACCTCCCTCCTTGATGAGAGTCAACTCAGATATCACCTCCCTCCTTGTTTTCATCCCTATCGCCCCTGCACGCTCGCATGCTTATTCCTCCCCCCCACAGGGTGCATGGGTGCTGCGGCCGCCAGCCCCCCTGCAGGCGACAGCGGTGGTGCACTTCATAGGGGGGGCGTTCGTGGGCGCGTCTCCTCAGCTCACCTACCGCCTCTTCCTCTCCACGCTGGCACAGAGGTGTGAACAGAATGCTGTTACTGCAATTCTGCTTGGCATTAGATAAGATTTCTGAGCAGCTAAAGGAGCCGCAAGACCCAGCCTTGGCGGGCTTGAGAAAGGTGAACGCGCACTCCCCTTACACTGCAAAATGTTTCTCCCTTTCAGTTTCTTTTTGTTTCTATCGGGTTTTACTTTGGGTTGCCGCATTGTGAGAATGTCAGGTTTTGACTGTCCCGATTCATGAAACTTTCTTCCAAACAAGAAAACAGTAAGGTGTCATTTTTCTTCCACCCTCTCTCTCTCCACTCACCCTCGCTCGCTCGCTCCCTCCCTCCCTCCCTCCCTCCCTCCCTCCCTCCCTCCCTCCCTCCCTCCCTCCCTCCCTCCCTCCCTCCCTCCCTCCCTCCCACCCTCCCTCCCTCCCTCCCTATCTCCGTCCCACCCTCCCTCCCTCCCTCCCTCCCTCCCTCCCTCCTTCCCTCCCCTTAATTTGTCTTTCTCTTCAATTTAGGGGGCTGATGGTGGTGGCAACACCATACGCCAGTGGCTTCGACCATCTGAGGATCGCCGACGAGGCGCAGTTTAGATTCGACCGCTGCATGCGCTCGCTGTCCCTTAAAGCCCAGCCGCCCAATGACGTATGTGCTGTTGCTTAAAGCCACGCCACCTAATGACGTATGTGCTGTTGCTTAAAGCCACGCCACCTGATGACGTATGTGCTGTTGCTTAAAGCCACGCCACCTAATGACGTATGTGCTGTTGCTTAAAGCCACACCACCTGATGACGTATGTGCTGTTGCTTAAAGCCACGCCACCTAATGACGTATGTGCTGTTGCTTAAAGCCACGCCACCTGATGACGTATGTGCTGTCACACAAAGCCACGCCGCCCAATGATGTCTGCGTTGTTGTTTAAAGCCACCAGTCAGTCACACGTACGCCCGGTGCGTCAGTCAGCCTATGAATCCACCGAGCCATGCACTGAGCTCACACTCTCGCCCCATGCATCATCATCCAAGCCCTAACTCGGTTGTTCTCCCATGCACCCACCCATGCACCCCACCCCACCATGCACCCCACCCATGCACCCCACCCATGCACCCCACCCATGCACCCCGTGCATGCATGTCATGCCCCCATCAGCCCATGGACCTGCCAGTGTACGGCGTGGGGCACTCCATGGGGGCTCTTGTTCACCTCCTCATTGGTACGCCCCCCCTTCCTCAATGGGTCCAACTCTTAGTTTCACCACCAGTCCACCCTGCCTTTGCTCTCCCATGGGTGGGGTGGCTCCCATTTTTCCCTCTCCCTGCCTTTGTCTTCCATTGCTTGTCCGTTTCTCTTCTCCCCTCTCTCCTTGTAGCAGAACCCCTTTGTCCAATGTAGCGAGCTTCATTTTAGCATGCCCTTTTTCCCGTAGCTCGCTCCTCCCTTCTCTTCCTCCCTTTGCCACTGACTTCCTTCTCCTCATTGTCTTCCCCTGTTGCGATACCCTTGTGCTCTTTCCTGCTGCCATACCCATCGGTCCTCCTTCTAAGGTGCTCGCTACGCCGTGGAGAGAGCTGGAAACGTCTTTATTTCCTTCAACAACAAGGTACTTTCTCCAGTCCCTTGTTCCTCTTCCATCACCCTTTCTTATATAGTCAACAACCTGCCAAGCAGTGTATTCCTGCTTCACAGGTTGATACTGACATCTGTGTCATTCCTATTGACACCAAGGCTCCACACTTCGTTGTAGGCTCCACATCAATCCTTTTTTTTTTTGCGACTTAAATATGGTCCTCGTTGCTCTAATTGTCCGCCCATTGCCATCCCTAGTGCATGTATGTAACCGAGTGTCTCCCCAGTCATCATGCCCCTGGCGCATTGCCTCACTGCGTGGCACTCCCCCTCTCCCCCTTCCCATGTTCCCCAGTCGCTGATACTCACTATGCATGCCAGAACTGCAGGAGGACAGTGAGGCCATTCCCCTGTTCTTGCCCTTCATCATGCCCATGCCTCAATCCCTTGTCATCGTTCCTCGCGCCCTTCTCTCCCCTGCAGGAAGCGAGTGCGGCCATACCGCTGTTCTCGCCGGTCATCATGCCCATGGCGCAGAGCCTGGGTCCCATTCTCACGCAGCTTCTCAACAACCCCACCCTCAAACTCGGGGTCTGTGCCTCATTGCCTCTCTGCCTCTCTGCCTCTCTGCCTCTCTGCCTCTCTGCCTCTCTGCCTCTCTGCCTCTCTGCCTCTCTGCCTCTCTGCCTCTCTGCCTCTCTGCCTCTCTGCCTCTCTGCCTCTCTGCCTCTCTGCCTCTCTGCCTCTCTGCCTCTCTGCCTCTCTGCCTCTCTGCCTCTCTGCCTCTCTGCCTCTCTGCCTCTCTGCCTCTCTGCCTCTCTGCCTCTCTGCCTCTCTGCCTCTCTGCCTCTCTGCCTCTCTGCCTCTCTGCCTCTCTGCCTCTCTGCCTCTCTGCCTCTCTGCCTCTCTGCCTCTCTGCCTCTCTGCCTCTCTGCCTCTCTGCCTCTCTGCCTCTCTGCCTCTCTGCCTCTCTGCCTCTCTGCCTCTCTGCCTCTCTGCCTCTCTGCCTCTCTGCCTCTCTGCCTCTCTGCCTCTCTGCCTCTCTGCCTCTCTGCCTCTCTGCCTCTCTGCCTCTCTGCCTCTCTGCCTCTCTGCCTCTCTGCCTCTCTGCCTCTCTGCCTCTCTGCCTCTCTGCCTCTCTGCCTCTCTGCCTCTCTGCCTCTCTGCCTCTCTGCCTCTCTGCCTCTCTGCCTCTCTGCCTCTCTGCCTCTCTGCCTCTCTGCCTCTCTGCCTCTCTGCCTCTCTGCCTCTCTGCCTCTCTGCCTCTCTGCCTCTCTGCCTCTCTGCCTCTCTGCCTCTCTGCCTCTCTGCCTCTCTGCCTCTCTGCCTCTCTGCCTCTCTGCCTCTCTGCCTCTCTGCCTCTCTGCCTCTCTGCCTCTCTGCCTCTCTGCCTCTCTGCCTCTCTGCCTCTCTGCCTCTCTGCCTCTCTGCCTCTCTGCCTCTCTGCCTCTCTGCCTCTCTGCCTCTCTGCCTCTCTGCCTCTCTGCCTCTCTGCCTCTCTGCCTCTCTGCCTCTCTGCCTCTCTGCCTCTCTGCCTCTCTGCCTCTCTGCCTCTCTGCCTCTCTGCCTCTCTGCCTCTCTGCCTCTCTGCCTCTCTGCCTCTCTGCCTCTCTGCCTCTCTGCCTCTCTGCCTCTCTGCCTCTCTGCCTCTCTGCCTCTCTGCCTCTCTGCCTCTCTGCCTCTCTGCCTCTCTGCCTCTCTGCCTCTCTGCCTCTCTGCCTCTCTGCCTCTCTGCCTCTCTGCCTCTCTGCCTCTCTGCCTCTCTGCCTCTCTGCCTCTCTGCCTCTCTGCCTCTCTGCCTCTCTGCCTCTCTGCCTCTCTGCCTCTCTGCCTCTCTGCCTCTCTGCCTCTCTGCCTCTCTGCCTCTCTGCCTCTCTGCCTCTCTGCCTCTCTGCCTCTCTGCCTCTCTGCCTCTCTGCCTCTCTGCCTCTCTGCCTCTCTGCCTCTCTGCCTCTCTGCCTCTCTGCCTCTCTGCCTCTCTGCCTCTCTGCCTCTCTGCCTCTCTGCCTCTCTGCCTCTCTGCCTCTCTGCCTCTCTGCCTCTCTGCCTCTCTGCCTCTCTGCCTCTCTGCCTCTCTGCCTCTCTGCCTCTCTGCCTCTCTGCCTCTCTGCCTCTCTGCCTCTCTGCCTCTCTGCCTCTCTGCCTCTCTGCCTCTCTGCCTCTCTGCCTCTCTGCCTCTCTGCCTCTCTGCCTCTCTGCCTCTCTGCCTCTCTGCCTCTCTGCCTCTCTGCCTCTCTGCCTCTCTGCCTCTCTGCCTCTCTGCCTCTCTGCCTCTCTGCCTCTCTGCCTCTCTGCCTCTCTGCCTCTCTGCCTCTCTGCCTCTCTGCCTCTCTGCCTCTCTGCCTCTCTGCCTCTCTGCCTCTCTGCCTCTCTGCCTCTCTGCCTCTCTGCCTCTCTGCCTCTCTGCCTCTCTGCCTCTCTGCCTCTCTGCCTCTCTGCCTCTCTGCCTCTCTGCCTCTCTGCCTCTCTGCCTCTCTGCCTCTCTGCCTCTCTGCCTCTCTGCCTCTCTGCCTCTCTGCCTCTCTGCCTCTCTGCCTCTCTGCCTCTCTGCCTCTCTGCCTCTCTGCCTCTCTGCCTCTCTGCCTCTCTGCCTCTCTGCCTCTCTGCCTCTCTGCCTCTCTGCCTCTCTGCCTCTCTGCCTCTCTGCCTCTCTGCCTCTCTGCCTCTCTGCCTCTCTGCCTCTCTGCCTCTCTGCCTCTCTGCCTCTCTGCCTCTCTGCCTCTCTGCCTCTCTGCCTCTCTGCCTCTCTGCCTCTCTGCCTCTCTGCCTCTCTGCCTCTCTGCCTCTCTGCCTCTCTGCCTCTCTGCCTCTCTGCCTCTCTGCCTCTCTGCCTCTCTGCCTCTCTGCCTCTCTGCCTCTCTGCCTCTCTGCCTCTCTGCCTCTCTGCCTCTCTGCCTCTCTGCCTCTCTGCCTCTCTGCCTCTCTGCCTCTCTGCCTCTCTGCCTCTCTGCCTCTCTGCCTCTCTGCCTCTCTGCCTCTCTGCCTCTCTGCCTCTCTGCCTCTCTGCCTCTCTGCCTCTCTGCCTCTCTGCCTCTCTGCCTCTCTGCCTCTCTGCCTCTCTGCCTCTCTGCCTCTCTGCCTCTCTGCCTCTCTGCCTCTCTGCCTCTCTGCCTCTCTGCCTCTCTGCCTCTCTGCCTCTCTGCCTCTCTGCCTCTCTGCCTCTCTGCCTCTCTGCCTCTCTGCCTCTCTGCCTCTCTGCCTCTCTGCCTCTCTGCCTCTCTGCCTCTCTGCCTCTCTGCCTCTCTGCCTCTCTGCCTCTCTGCCTCTCTGCCTCTCTGCCTCTCTGCCTCTCTGCCTCTCTGCCTCTCTGCCTCTCTGCCTCTCTGCCTCTCTGCCTCTCTGCCTCTCTGCCTCTCTGCCTCTCTGCCTCTCTGCCTCTCTGCCTCTCTGCCTCTCTGCCTCTCTGCCTCTCTGCCTCTCTGCCTCTCTGCCTCTCTGCCTCTCTGCCTCTCTGCCTCTCTGCCTCTCTGCCTCTCTGCCTCTCTGCCTCTCTGCCTCTCTGCCTCTCTGCCTCTCTGCCTCTCTTCCAGCCACCCTGAACCCCCTTCTTGGCATATGTGCCATCATCCATCGAGTTTCGCTCAAATCAGTGTGTCTCGATGCCCTTTCATTCTTGTCCACCTGCCTTACTTCCGATCATTCACTGGCAAGCCTCTCTCGCACATTCCTCTCAACTCCTCCTGTCTCCTCTTCTCCCCTCTCCCCGCCCCATGCCCCCAGGCTGACGTGGCAGTGAAGCAGCTGAGGGATTTGAACGCACCAATGGTGGCGCAGCTGCTGCCGCTGCTGGAGCAGCTCCCCCCGCTCTACCGCGACCTCTCTGATGGCCGCGATCAGTTCACACCTGCACCAGCTGAGACCCGCCGCCTGGTAAGAGATCATCGTTACATGGCTCCAGGTGTGGTCAGTTGACACCTGCACCAGCTGAGATGAGACCTAGCGCCTGGTAAGGAATTGGCAAGTCTGAGTCGTGTCCATTCTGCGCTTGTTGAGACTCCTTGCAACTCCTTACGCCGTTACGCTTGCTTCCATACACTCCGCTCCGCTGCATCCACAACTCGTGCCCCTGCTTCCTTCTGACCCGCCTAGCCACCCACCCATGCTGCGCCAGGTTCATCCCGCACGCCCATTGCCCACACATCACCGGCTCCTAAACCACCAACCAGCATATCACTCACCCTCTCACCCCCTGCCCACGCCAAGCCCTGGCATGCCTAAACAGCACCCAGTCGTGCCCCCTCCCCCACTTCCTCCCCGCCCTCCACTACGCCCAGACATACCATGGAGGCGCAACGTGCTGGTCCAAGGCACGCATTAGACCTGTATCCATCTACTTCCAGCCAACCACTGCTCTCTCCCCTTCTCTCCCCCACCCCCAGGCCCAGACGTACTACGGGGTGTGGCGCATCCTGCTGGTGCACTTACAAAGATACAACTGCACCCAAGCACCTTAGAACTACCTGCTGTCCCTTCCCCCCTCTATCTCTTCCCCCACCCCCAGGCCCAGACATACTACGGGGTGCGGTGCAACCCGCTGGTTCAAAGAAAAGAACTTTCATTCTGACCTCCTAGATTTCCTTTTCGCCCTCTCCCACCCCTCCCCCCCCACCCCAGGCCCAGACGTACTACGGGGTGCGGCGCAACCTGCTGGTGCGCTTTAAGGATGATACAATCGACGAGACTGCTGACCTGGCGGACACGCTGGCAGCGGGCAGCGCTGTGTCAGCATGCCTGGACCTCGCCATGCGGACACTGCCAGGCGACCACGTGCGCCCGCTGCGCCAGGTATGCCAAGTGGCATGCGCTTTTGTTAAGCTGAAGGTGGAAATCGAGCAAGCTGAAATATGTGTTGCCCTGTGCGTAGACAAGGCTCTGTGCTGTCTTCCTGATTTAATATTCACAGCCCCCTGCTTCGAGGTTAGGGCCTTACTTCATTTGCTACCAGTGCTGTTCCATCCGCCCCAATCCCCCCCCCCCCCCATTTCCACCCTGGGGCCTCCTTGTTTCCTTCTGGTGCAGGTGGTTCCCGAGATTCCGCAGACTGTTGCTGACGTGGTCTCGCGAGGCAGCTCCCTGCTCGCCTCCATGACAGCTGGCACGCCGCTCGCTGACCTGGCGCGCGGCGTCAGCGACACGCTGACGGGGGCGGTGGGGCTGGGGAGCGAGGGGGAGAGCATGGGAGGGGGGTTGGGAGGGATGCAGCGCGATGTGAGGGAGGACATGGAGCAGCTGGTGGATGAGCTTGTGCCATTCCTGGGTGCGCTCACCCGGCCCCCCACTGAATCACCTCGGTTGCTGCCACGGATATGATGGAGTCGCCATGTTCAATTAGTAATTGTGTCCTGTTTCAGTGGACGAGCGTGTTATAGATGTGAACATTGGGATATTGATGTAGGATTATTTTTATTGTAGTCTTAGCTGTAGTAAGGTATCTGTGGCATTTTTTTAGTGCAGGTTATGTAAATTGGTGGTTATTATATTATCATTGTAGTGTTCCCACGGAACGACTGGAGCTGATGTTGGTGCGTTGAATCTCGAGTCATTGAAGCAGGGAGGTAGACGTCCAGATGCAGCTCATTGGAAAGAAGTTCCAGCCGAGCCGCGGTACCCCGTGCTCCGCGACAGCTTCACCGCTAAGCGGAAATTCCTTCGCGCCTTTTTTGTCTCTCTCCACTCCCATTCTTCCCGCAACTTTACATGCCTTGGTTCGTTCTCGATGACGCCATGCCCTTTGCGGCTACATGAGTCGTCGTGACCCACTCATCCTGTCTTCCTTGCGGACTCTAATGCTCGCCTGCGAACTCTTACCTTGCTTACCACTGACACATCCTATGACATGTGACTTGCTTTGGAAGCACCATACTTAGTTTCGCAGTCGGTTGCAGTCCGTTTCTTACGCCTTTGAGACGTATTAAACCGTTACAGAGATTGTTGAGTGTCCGCAGCGTTTCAGGCTTGAACGTTAAGTCCGTCACCGTTGACGGTCAGCCGTCATGTCTCGCGCCACGGACTCGGACCCGCAAACGTCGTCGTTACCGTCAATATCACAGTCAGCGCAACCTGCGGAGGCTCCTTCAATCAAATCCCCATCCCCATCTGCCGCACCAGTGCCGTTTGATCAATGGGTCGGCAATTTCGATGCTGACGTGGCCGCGTCCCTCCCAAGTACAGGGATCGACATCGCGGAGATTGTACGCGATAGAGGCATCTCCAAGGCTGTAGATGTAAGACCAAACGCGCGGTAGTGCTAGGCGTTCTGAATGGGGAGTGCAGAGAGACGATCTGAGCAGTGGACAGTGAATTGGCAGGTGACGCTTGAAGAGCGATTTTGTCAGGAGTGAGTTGTGAACGGTGAAGTGCAGCGGAGTGACCACGAGGGAACGAACGATAAGAATGCTGAGTTGATCTGGAGTGGTAGAATCGGAGAGAGCAAAGAAGAGCCATGAGCTCGTGAGGGAGTCACGCTGGGCCCACTAACTGAGCGTGGACTGGGAGTCGACCCAGCAGCTGAGAGTTGACTGGGAGTTGACCGAGCGGTTGAGTGTTGACTGGGAGTTGACCGTGCCCAATGCCATATTCCCTGTGCCCCATGCCCCATACCCTATGCCCCACCCCGTGCCCCATGGCCCATGGTCCATATTCCACGCCCTATGCCCCATGCCCTATGCTCCATGCCCCATGCCCCATTCTCCGCCTTATTTTGACCTTATTTTACCTCCCCCCAGATTCGGCGCCTCGCAGATCATCATAGACGTGCGTGGCAACGGTGGCGGCTCCACAACAGCAGCAGACACAGCCACACTCCCCCCCATGCCTCCCCCAATAAACTTCCCATATTCCCCCCCCCCCCCCCCCACTCTCTTCAGATCCGGCGCCTTGCAGATCATCAGAAACGTGCGTGGCAACGGTGGTGGTTCCACCCTCGCAGCATTCACAGCCATCCGTCTTCCCATGCCCCACGCAGCCCCGCCATGCCCATGCCCCATACCCTATGCCCCATGCCCCATACCCTATGCCCCACCCCACGCCCCATGGCCCATACCCCGCGCCCTATGCTCCATGCCCCACGCCCTATGCCCCGTGCCCCATGCTTCATACCCCATACCCCATGCCAGGTGCCTTACTTCGATCTGCCCGAGAGGGTGATCAAGTCAGCATCTGATTGGTTGGCGACGCAGGGCAGTAACGACCTGGCAGCAGTGGCAGCTTTGCTCATCCACGTGGCACTGCATGATAGGCCGCCCAGCGACCGCGCGACCATCTCCAAGGCAAGCTCTCAGCACGTTCCCATGTGTTGTTTGCAACAGCATCAATGGAAGGAACGAAGGATAATGCTGGCATAGAGATAGAAGCGTTTCCTCCGCCGACGAGGCTGGAGGGGCTGCGTGGCGGAATCAGAGAGGAGAAGAAGAGCGCAAGCCCGTAGAGTCACTGCCACGTGTCAGCTGCTGCTCGCACCTCACGGAACCCACTCTTGTGCTCCCACCTGTGCCCATGCACCATCCTCGCCTACTCATCTCAACCACTTGCCTGCCCTGGCTTCTCTTGACCTGCCACTCCAACCCCACCCCAACCCTTCCATATCACTCCAACGCTTCCATACCACCCCAACCCATTGAAACCACCCCATACCAGGACGCAGCTCTCTCGCTGCTCGCCATTCTCCTCCGCGCGCGACCGGCCACTCTCCAGCAAGTGCCCGACGCGCTGCTGCCGCCCATAAAAGACAAACGAAGGCCGTCCAGTGTCCAGCCGTTGCCGCCCAAGAACTCCCAGCAGCCGCCCACCAAGGATGGTGCTTCAGCAGGCAGCCACGTGGCAGAGGGGGATAGGCTGGCAATTCTTGCATGGATTTACGGTCAGGTGGGTCAACCAAAGGCTATGGGTTCTGCGCCTGTGAGCCTGCACTGGTCAGCACAGTGCACGGTGCACCCAGCGTCCTCGCCTCACCCTACTTTGCCCTCTTCTCCTTCGCTCCCTCGTGCTCCCTCGCCCATGGCATGTTTGCATCACGTCCTTCTCTCCACCCATTTCCACCCGATTATCTTCCCTTAACTCTATCCCAACCGCTCCGTACGCTGTCTCTCTTGTCTCTCCTTTCTCTTTTGTCTCTCCTGTCTCGCCTCTCCCTCATGTCCCGCCTCTCCCTCATGTCTCGCCTCTCCCTCATGTCTCGCCTCTCTCTCATGTCTCGCCTCTCCCTCATGTTTCGCCTCTCCCTCATGTCTCGCCTCTCTCTCATGTCTCGCCTCTCCCTCATGTCTCGCCTCTCCCTCATGTCTCGCCTCTCTCTCATGTCTCGCCCCTGTACAGGCAGCGCGGGCGGACAGGGTGGCGGGCATGTCGCTCTTCATCCACTGCCTGCTGCCACCTGCCATCCATCCGGCCGCCTCCCCCACCACCACGCATCTCGCCCTCACCTTCCTCGAGGAGTAAGTTGCCTGCCTTGCCTTCATCACTCCCTGCCTTCATCACTCCCTGCCTTCATCACTCCCTGCCTTCATCACTCCCTGCCTTCATCACTCCCTGCCTTCATCACTCCCTGCCTTCATCACTCCCTGCCTTCATCACTCCCTGCCTTCATCACTCCCTGCCTTCATCACTCCCTGCCTTCATCACTCCCTGCCTTCATCACTCCCTGCCTTCATCACTCCCTGCCTTCATCACTCCCTGCCTTCATCACTCCCTGCCTTCATCACTCCCTGCCTTCATCACTCCCTGCCTTCATCACTCCCTGCCTTCATCACTCCCTGCCTTCATCACTCCCTGCCTTCATCACTCCCTGCCTTCATCACTCCCTGCCTTCATCACTCCCTGCCTTCATCACTCCCTGCCTTCATCACTCCCTGCCTTCATCACTCCCTGCCTTCATCACTCCCTGCCTTCATCACTCCCTGCCTTCATCACTCCCTGCCTTCATCACTCCCTGCCTTCATCACTCCCTGCCTTCATCACTCCCTGCCTTCATCACTCCCTGCCTTCATCACTCCCTGCCTTCATCACTCCCTGCCTTCATCACTCCCTGCCTTCATCACTCCCTGCCTTCATCACTCCCTGCCTTCATCACTCCCTGCCTTCATCACTCCCTGCCTTCATCACTCCCTGCCTTCATCACTCCCTGCCTTCATCACTCCCTGCCTTCATCACTCCCTGCCTTCACCACTCCCTGTCGCCACCTTCCCCTCCCTCCAGCCGTAAGATCATTCAATATTACATGCTCGCACCCCCTTCCTATGCCTTTTGTCCTCCATGCCTACTCTCCTCCCATGCGCACTCTCCCCTACCCTCTCCCAATGCACCGCTCATGCTGTCGTGAGGGGTGGTTGGTTGCACCGCATGGCTCTCAAGGCCCTGCGGTCCGGTCCTCCTCGCCTTGAGGCATCTCAGCAACGTGCTCCCCCTGGTTTCTTATTGAGGCATCTCGTCAACACACCGCTCCCTCGTGTGATCCTATTGACCCGTGGGTGCACCACAGGGAGGTGTTGGAGAATCGCAGCAAGGCATACGCGGAGGTGCACAGGGGCGGGGTGTGGTGCCCCTCATGGCTCCAGAGGCCCTCCGGTCCTCATGATAGACTGCTCCTACCTCTGACCCTCCTACCCTGTGCGCCACAGGGTGGTGTTGGAGAACCGCAGGAAGGCCTACGCGGAGCTGCACAGGGGCGCTGTGAGGGGCGGGCTGCGCCTTGTGCCGCCTGAGGCGCTGCGCTCGTTCCTGCTGGCCGCCTTCCCTGCCAAGGGCGACTGCACCGAGGTGTGTGTGTGTTGAGGGTGGTTGGGTGGGTGTATGTATACGCAGGCACGCAGTGATTGGGCGGGTAGCGCCTCGTGCCACCTGAGGCGCTGCGGTCGTCCCTGCTAAAAGCGATTTCTCTAAGATGTTGAGGGTGGGTGGACACGCAGACACTCAGACATGCTGTGATTGGACCAGCTGCGCCTTTTGCTGCCTGCAGCCCTGCGGTTCTTCCTGCTGGTTGCGTTCCCTGCAAAGAGTGATTGCACTGAGGTGTGCTGTGATCAGGTGGTTGCGCACAGCACAGACACGCATGCTAAATCAAACACAGATGTGCGCACACACTCACACACTCACACACCACTCACCCACCCACAACAATGCATGTGCATGAATTCGCACCAGATACTGCGCGCACACACAGGAATGAGCGTCACCAATCACTGCTCTGGATCCTGCCTGCAGGGCTGCTGTAAGCGTCACTGCATGTCAGATAATCAACATTTGTCGCTCCACGTATTATTACATCCGCTACTATCCCATGTCCAGTCCTTTCTTCCCATCCACCCTTCCCCTCCATCTTTTCACCTGCCCCCTTCCACCTGCAGTTCAACCCATGTGTACTTCACGGTGAAGACGATGGTCCAGTTCTCAAACCCACTCTCTCGGGCTACTCCTCTCAGCCTCACCTCACTCACACATGTCCTCACCTCACTCACACATGTCCTCACCTCACTCACACATGTCCTCACCTCACTCACACATGTCCTCACCACCACCCATTCTCCCTCTCTCCTCCCCCTTGCCGCCTCGCCCCCCAGTTTAACCACCACTTCACTCACACGTACCAAATAGTGAAGCAGCTGGCGCTGGTGAAGGGCGCGGTCTCTGGAAACTCCTCGGAGGCTCATTCACGGGATGGCCTTGCCCCTACTCCCTCCCTCTCTTTTCTTCCTCCTCCCTTTCCCCCCCCCAGTTCACCCCGCGCTTCGCCCACGCATACCTGATAGTGAAGCAGCTGGCGCTGGTGAAGGGCGCGGTCGCGGGGGACTTTGGGGATTCTGACGCCGCCTCACAGGCCGCCCTTGCCCGGGCCAGGTCTAGCCAGGAAGCTGCGGAGAAGCTGCTTCCCCTCATGTTTGAGGCTGCACGAGAGGGTGAGGGGGTGGGGGAAGGGGTGAAAGGGAGAATGAAAGGCGGGAGGAAAGGAGGGAGGAAAGGGACAGATTTTCCTGCTTGGACTGGTAGAGGGGTCAAGAGTGCGAAGGCTGGGACTGGAAGGCTGAAATGGGGAGGCATCTCGATTGGGTGGGAGGTTCCAAAAGCACGAGGTGTCAAGATTGGACATTGAAATACACGAGATTATCTTTTCCCTGCCCAGCACCTTTTGCACGACCACGAGTCTCCATCCTACCCTGTTCTTTCCGCTCCGTGCATGTCTTGTGCATGTCCCATGGGCTCAGCTCTTCTCCTCCCTTGCCTGGCGAGCAAGCAGGCTCAGAGGAGGCTCAGAACGACTCTTGAGACGCATTAGAAACGGTTGCTTGCATGTCCTCACGTGTGTGAGCTGGTCCCCCATGCCGTGCGTGCGTGCATGCATGCAGGGTCAGAGGAGGCAAGGGAGGAGGCGGGTGCCATCATGCTGTGGTGCCTCATTGAGAATCCTGCCTGCTACTCCCAATGGGTGCGTGCCTTGCCATTCCATGCTGTGCCATGTGATGCTGTGTTTTGGATGGATGTTTTCGCTGGGCTATCACCACTGTCCACCCATCACTGTCCACCCATCACCACCCACCCCAACACACCATCCGCCCATCTCAATGCACCATCCGCCCATCTCAATGCACCATCCGCCCATCTCAATGCACCATCCGCCCATCTCAATGCACCATCCGCCCATCTCAATGCACCATCCGCCCATCTCAATGCACCATCCGCCCATCTCAATGCACCATCCGCCCATCTCAATGCACCATCCGCCCATCTCAATGCACCATCCGTCCATCTCAATGCACCATCCGTCCATCTCAATGCACCATCCGCCCATCTCAATGCACCATCCGTCCATCTCAATGCACCATCCGCCCATCTCAATGCACCATCCGCTCATCTCAATGCACCATCCGCCCATCTCAATGCACCATCCGCCCATCTCAATGCACCATGCGCCCATCTCAATGCACCATGCGCCCATCTCAATGCACCATCCGCCCATCTCAATGCACCATGCGCCCATCTCAATGCACCATGCGCCCATCTCAACGCACCAGGAGCGGCTGCACAGCGGCGCACTGGACACGTCACGCCACATGCTGGGCGGCATGGAGCGGCGGTGGGATGAGGTGAAGCTGCAGCTCGCCCCCTATGCGCCCCTCAGAGCCTTCCTGCTCGCCATCCGCCGACAGGTGCTCACCGTCCCTCCCCTCACACTCCCTTCTCTTCCTCTCTGCCCCTGAACCCACCACCAGCTGCTGTTGCTTGTTGCTCCACACTGCCTTTCCTCTCCCGCCCTTCCATTCAGCTCCTCAATCTCCGCTATCTGTATCGCCATCCGTTCACCCACTGCCCCACTCCTCCCACCATGCTTTCCAACGATCGCCATTCTTGCCAACGATTGCATGCCAGCCCTCAATGTCGTCCCCCTCTCCCCACTCCCACTCCCGATTTCCCCCATTCCCTTTCACTCAGCACGCACAAGCCCTCAGAGCTCTCGACCAATCACAGGTGGAGGAGAGGGCCACCATCCGCCAGACAGACGCCGTGGCAAGGAAGCTTCAGAAAAAGATCTCTCGGGTACCTGGGTGTCTAGCCACAGTGGCCACTTTAATAGCCTCTGCAGCCATGGTGTACACTTTCTATTGGCTCAGCCCGGGGAAGAACCCGTGGGGGTGGGATGGTTATATCCTTCTCAGCAAGACGCACAGATGGTACTGATGCACGTGGCATTGCTCTACTTGTACCTGTATAACTTGGGCTTTTGCCCTTTCTAGTCACCCTCTTCCACTTTTCAACTTCGTAGGCTTTGAGTCTCCTCAAGACTTATAAAAGAAAAAAGGGGTAGAAACATGTGAAAGTAGCCTTTCAGTGAGCAGAATACCATAATCATCCACTGCTGAACGGGATGCAAGAAATTTACGTCAGCCGGGAATCGAACCCGGATCTTTTGCTTGGAAGGCAAATATCCTAACCATTGGACTACTGACGTGTTGCTACCGAATCCTGTACAAATTTTTTTTTTATGTCAAGAGCTATCGAGGCTTCCAGAGCGAAAAACACGTTGTGAGCGATCTTGGCGACGGATTGACGGAACGTTGGCGCGAGTACAGTTGCGCTAAGCCCCACCGTTTTCGCACACCTCGCCTCCCTCTTCGCATCCCACAACGCCGCCATGGCGAAGAATCCCGCAGCTGCTCCGTCGCCCAGCGGCACCGCTAACCCTAATCCTGTCGGCACTGCGAATCCCGTCGCTGGGGCCCGCACCAACGCCAGCGCGGACGGAGTCTGCTCTGCCGGCGGAAGCGGCGTGGCGCGGAACGAGCGGAAGGAGCGGAGGGAGCGGATAGAGTCGCTGGGATGGCTAACGGAATCGGCGCTGATGCCGAAGAAGCAGCGCGTGATCGAGGGCGTGAGCGCGGGCAGCCTGGTGTCGCTGCGCGCCGAGCTGTACAAGAGCCAGGAGGACGCCAAGCGCGCCAAGGAGGAGGGCGGCGGGGAGCCGCGGGTTAGGCGCGCGGGAGGCGGAGCGGAAGGGGGCCCCGGAGACCTGTTTGGGGGGAGAAATGCTGGGGTTGAAGAACGTGCGCATAGGTGGGGTTGGCGCGACTTCTGGTCTCCTGATCCCCCCTTCCCCGCCCTTCCCCTCGTCTCTCACCCATTCCCCTCATTCTCCCCCTCCCAGAGGCGCACTGAAAAGGCCGCCGGCCTTGCCGTTGGCCGCACTGGTGCGGCAGATGGGGATGGGGATTTGATTGAAGGAGCCTCCGCAGGTTGCGCTGACTGTGATATTGACGGTAACGACGACGTTTGCGGGTCCGAGTCCGTGGCGCGAGACATGACGGCTGACCGTCAACGGTGACGGACTTAACGTTCAAGCCTGAAACGCTGCGGACACTCAACAATCTCTGTAACGGTTTAATACGTCTCAAAGGCGTAAGAAACGGACTGCAACCGACTGCGAAACTAAGTATGGTGCTTCCAAAGCAAGTCACATGTCATAGGATGTGTCAGTGGTAAGCAAGGTAAGAGTTCGCAGGCGAGCATTAGAGCAACGGCACGGCCGGCGGCGAGCGGCACGGCCGCCGGCCGGCGGCGAACGGCTAGGCCGCCGGCCGGCGGCCAACGGCACGGCCGGCGGCGAGCGGCACGGCCGCCGGCCGGCGGCGAACGGCAAGGCCGCCGGCCGGAGGCCAACGGCAAGGCCGATGGCCGGCGGCGAACGGCAAGGCCGCCGGCCGGCGGCCAACGGCAAGGCCGCCGGCCGGCGGCCAACGGCATGGCCGCCGGCCGGCGGCCAACGGCAAGGCCGGCGGCCAACGGCACGGCCGCCGGCCGGCGGCCAACGGCAAGGCCGCCGGCCGGCGGCGAACGGCTAGGCCGGCGGGGCAATCTCCCCTTCCCCCCCTCCTTAATTCCCGACTCCACCCCAGTTAGTTCCGCTCCTACTCGCCCCTCTTCTCCCCAACAACCCACTTAAAGATGTAGTGTCGCGAAAGGCGGACAGGGGCTCAGCGGGCAACGTGAAACGCCAAGCCCCACCCGTGCCGCCGCGATATTCTTACCTCTTCCCCCGACCCCCCTTCCTCACCCAAATGCACCAGGGACGCGCTGCAGTGGAAGGCGGAGAGGGACGTTGCAGGGCATCTGGAGCGCAAGGCAGCAATCTATGCGCGCCTGGCCAGAGGGGAGCGCGCCGAAGGGGAGGGCGCGCAGGGGGAGGGGGCGGATTGGGCGGGCGTGGAGGAGAAGTACAGCGTTGACTTCCTCAGGCGGGGGACCTTGGAGGAGGAGAAGCAGGAGATGGAGCGCGAGAGGCGGGGAGAGGCGGCGCTGCTGCTGGGGGGCGCAGAGGGGGATGGAGGAGAGGGGGGACGGGATGGGGGCGGAGGGGCAATTGTGGTTGCTGGAGGGGGAATGCCGTCGACACAAAGGGAGCTGATCAGGTGGGTTGGAGTGCGGCAGTTCACAACGTTTTTGTTATTTCGTGTGTAACCAGCAGCTTGAGTTTCCTGGCCACCCTATCACATGGCGATTGCTGCTCTGCGCTCCTCTCTCCCCGTTCCCTCTCACGGCACATGCTGGCAAAGGCTTGATAGAGGTGGCATGCTGTGCATCTGAGAGCCGCATAGGTCATCAATTGTCAACCTATTCCCCAAGCACTGTGTTCACCTGTTTTGCGCCTGTCTTCTTCCCTCCCTGTGGCTTGGGGCAGGGAGGTGATTGAGGAGACGCGGACAGCACGGGAGAGAGCAGCGCTGCTGAAGGCCAAGAGGCAGCAGCAGGCGGAGCAGAAGAGGGAGAAGCTTCGTGCTGCCTTCCTCAAGCAGCAGCTGCTGAAGGAAAAGGCAAAGAAAAAGGATCCAAAACTGGCAGGAGGGAAGAATGGGGGTGGGGAAGGACACTGATAAATCTTTTGTTATGCTGTATATATTGTGTTGATCTCAGGCATATCAAAGGCGCGCGTAAGCATCACTCAAATTCACAAACCTATAAGAGCATTCTTTCTCGTATTTTACTTGGAAAGTATGTTAGCGAACTCAATTGTCATGTAGCGTTAATTTTCGGTAAGACATCGCGCTTCTGTCGCTAACCTTGGGATATTCGTACACCTTTGTTGCTTAGCCATTTCCAACCTTCGCTTTCCTCGCTGTCATCCCTGAGGCTCGAAATCCAACTCACGCAAACCCCTTCGTCCCTCGCCTCATCCAAAAACCATTCCCCATCTGGATTCATCGCTTTCCTGAACACGCGGGATCGCCATGGCGGATGACGCCAAGGGGCCAGAAGGCACGGAGGAAAATCGCGACAATGCGCGCGAAACAGGCAAGCATTCGATTCCCGTTTACCTGCGTCGATATCGCTGCTCTAGCGGCTGACAACTCCGTCCTCCCCGTCTGATTCCGTAGTAGTCACGGCTGTCGCTTTGGGTTGCAATAGGCCATATTCTCCGTGACTCGCGGCGTCTAACGCGTGCTCTGGTTCGCCTGCAGAGGAGGTCCGAGCGCTCAAGTCGACGCTGCGGTTCCTCGTGTCGAACAGCGACGCGGGGTCCATCATTGGCAAGGGCGGCGTCGTGATCTCCGAATTCCAAACTCAATCCGGCGCGAAAATAGTGCTGTCACGCGCGCGAGAATACTTTCCCAACACCACGGACCGCATCATTCTCCTCAGCGGCAGCGTCAGCGCCATTCTGACCGCTCTCCACCTCATTCTATCCAAACTCGCCGATGTACGCACCCGCGCTCCCATCCCCATCGCCGTCATCATCCCCACTCCCATTCTCATCCCACATCCGCATCCCCATCACAATCCCTCCCCCATCCACTCCCATCCCATCCGTTCCCATCCCCATTCTCTTTCTGCAACCAAGTTCCGTACTTCCACTCGTGAACGACGGACGAATCCCCGTATGCTGCCTCCCTGCTTCCTTGGATTCCATTTCTTCGTCGATGTGTCGCCTCTCTGAAACGAAGCGCGCCCGTATTCCCGTGCTGGCAGGAGCCGCGGCGCAACGAGCCGGGCGCGCGGGAGGGTGACGCGGATCTGCGAATCGTGGTGCCCAACAGAGTGTGCGGCGCCATCATTGGCAAAGGCGGCGCCACCATCCGGTGAGGCGCGGTGCGGCGTGGTGTTGTCGGTTGCAGTGTGGTGCTGTCAGGTGCCTAATGCTGCCGTCACTATGCGCTTCCCCCCCTTCCCTTTCACTCTCTCCCCCCACCTTTCCGCCATTCGCACCAACTCTGTCTTCCCCGCGCAGGTTGTTCGTGCAGGACTCGCAAGTCTTCGCCTCGTCGTGCTCTTCTTCTATCCCCCTCCATGGCGCCTCCTTATTCGCCCTCCTGCCTCCCCTCACACCGCCTCCCCCGCTCAGGTCGTTCGTGGAGGACTCGCAGGCGACCATCAAGCTGTCGCCGCAGGACGCGGTGGCGCCGGGATTCGCGGAGCGCGTGATCACGATAGGGGGCACGCTGGAGCAGAAGCTGCGCGCCGTGGCGCTGCTGCTGACCAAGATGTCTGAAGACCCCACCTACGTGCAGTACGCTGACGTGCCGCTCTCCTACACCGGTGAGCCACGTGCCTCTGTCCTACGTGGATGCCTCTTTCCTCCACGTGCCTCTGTCCTACAGCAGTGAGCAGAAAAGCCCTTGCATCATCATGCCACTGCTCGCTCACTCACCTGCCTACGCATCATTATCCACTCCACTCCACTCCACTCCACTCCACTCCACTCCACTCCACTCCACGCCATTCCACTCCGCCTCACTCCACGCCATTCCACTCCACCCCACTCACCACCCCTCCCCGCCCTCTCTCCCACTGTGCTGCTCCTGGCAGGCGCGCCAGGCAGGGGTGGTTACAACGGCGGCCCAGGCGGTTACGGCGGTGGGGGTTACGGGGGCCAGGGCGCTTATCCAGGTTACCCCAACCCTGGGGGGTACGGCGGGGCTCCGTATGGCGGGTTGAGGGGGCCGCCCCCATATGGCATGCCGGGGGTGCCTCCCAACCGGGGCAAGGTGTGTTAGCGTTATGGTTTGGGGGACAGCTAGCAGCATGGAAGGTGTTCTTGCGCTGTGTCGGGTGTGAGTTCACAGGTGTGCTGATGGGGCATGTAAGGATTTCAAATGTGAGGGCGGGTTGGGTTGGGTTGGGTTGGGTTGGGTTGTGGCACGTGAAGCACTGAGCCAGTGCTGCCCGCTGAGGCGGCCATTCTTGCATCATGCCGCGCTCTGCAAATCCATGGAGTTCATTGGATGCTCATTCCACCTCTCGCTGTTGCTGCCCTCAGTCGCTCTCTGTGCATCCACACCACGGACAGCGACAGCATTGAGAGGGCGCCTTTTGGGGGGGAGCGGGATGGAGAGAAAATGAGGGAGGCTCTGCTTCCCAGCCACTCTGCAATTCTCTTCTCCCATTCCCGTTGTTCACTGGTCTTTAGAGGGAGGGGAGATGAGGGGGAAAGTGGGGATGGGGAAGGGGATGCTGGATAGGCAAAAGCATGACCTAGTCCCTTCCCTGGTACTTGAGATGATCTTTGCATCGCCCTCCCCTCGCCCTCCCTCCTCTCTGCCTCCGCATTCCCCCCCAGCAGGCGGCGCCACCAATGCTACCGGGGGGCGTGGTACCGACGACCATCATAGTGGCGGTGCCCGACGACCACGTGGGTGCCGTGGTGGGCAAGCAAGGCCGCTCCATCAACGAGATCCAACAGGTGTGCTCCATCAACGAGATCCAACAGGTGTGCTCCATCAACGAGATCCAACAGGTGTGCTCCATCAACGAGATCCAACAGGTGTGCTGTGCGCTGCACCACACCACACCCCCACACGTGTCCCTCAGGCATTATTCACACGTTTCACCCTCAATTTCGAGAGTTTGACAGCTGTGACTATGAGATCTGCCATTTACGTGGTTTGTTCTGCTGGGATGTGGATGGATTCTAGGGACAGGACTGATGCTTGCACATTCTCCTCATAAGTGTTTTCGTGTTCTTTCTATCACCCACATTCATGTCTCTTTCTATCACCCACATTCATGTCTCTTGCTTCATCTCACCCACGTGCTTTCCTCCTATGCATCTGCCCCTGTCCCTGTGCTGTGCTGCCCTGCTCTGCCCCTGGCCGTGCCCCGCCCTGCTCTGTCCTGCACTCACAGAACACAGGGGTGCGCATGGTGATCTCAGGCAGAGGCGACTTTGTGGAGGGAACCAGAGACAGGTACGCACCCTCCTGCCCCGCCTCCTGCCGCACGTGCTGCAATTTATCCATTCCCGAGCACCCATGATACCACCTTTGGGCTAGACCTGAATGCCAAGGCTGCTTTTGGGCCTCACACTATCGATTTGCACGAGTGTGAGTGTGCAGGAAGGTGACAATAACGGGGTCATCAGAGGGGGTGGTGGCGGCGCAGCACATGATCGCACAGAAGGTGCAGCAGAGCATTGCAGCGAGCAGTGGGGACCATCACCCCTCGCACAGTGGGGTGGACGACGGCCCGCCGCCTGGGCTGTAGGATATAGCACAGCTGTAGCAGCGGTAGTGCTGCTGCGTGGGTGGTTGTAGGATTTTCTTTGCTTCTTTAGGAGGATGGGGATGTGTGGTTGTACGGCAAGTGAGTTTGAGCAAGCAATTTAGTTCCGTGGTATGGGTAGAGATGGTATGTCAAGGCAGTGCATAACATATGCCAGGCCCCATTCATGACTAGATGGGTTGGTTCACCTGCTATACTTGTATACACGAGGTATTTTCAGCGCGATGTTGACAGCTGATAGCAAATTATAATGCTCCTGGTTTCTCACGAGTGATATGGCAGGGGTTCCTCTACCCCTTGGACCTACCGTACCTACAGTAGCAGTAGTCAACCAACGGTACAACTGTGATCAAAGTATATAATAAATGTTCTTAAGTGCTGATATAGGAGGCACAAATGCATGTCTTTGAGTCTTGACTGAAACAAAACGAGCAGTACACTTGCATGAGAAAAAGGGGTGCCAAAAAAAAAAAGTAGGCTGAGCCTTCGGCACCCCCCGAGCCACACAGGATCGCAATGTATGCGTAACCAGCTCTGTCATTCCTGTGGTGTGTGATGGACTTGCTATTGCTGTTGTTGCTGCTGTGGTGGCTGCTGCTGCTGCTGCTGCTGCTGCTGCTGTTGCTGCTGTTGTTGCTGCTGTTGCTGCTGTTGTTGCTGCTGTTGCTGCTGTTGCTGTTGTTGCTGCTGTTGTTGCTGCTGTTGCTGTTGCTGCTGTTGTTGCTGTTGTTGCTGTTGCTGTTGCTGTTGCTGCATGGGCTGCACATGCTGCTGCATTTGAAGCTGGCGTGATTGTGGTGGTGCCTGCTGCTGTGGCTGCTGCTGTTGCAGTTGCTGCTGCGGTTGTGTTTGATGTGATGCCTGCTGCTGCTGCGGATGCTGGGGCTGCTGCATTTGCTGTTGCTGCATTTGTTGTTGCATGCGTTGCTGGTACAGCTGCTGCTGCCTCTGCCGCTGCTGAGCGAGCATCTGCTGCTGCTGCGGAGTCAGGTTCCCACGTTGCTGCATCTGCTGCTGCAGCTGCTGCTGCATGTGCTGTCGCTGTGCTGCCATCTGCTGCCCTTGCTGCTGCTGCGGACCCTGCTGCTGCTGTACTCGTTGCTGCTGCTGCATCTGTTGCTGCATCTGCTGCTGCATAGTCTGCTGCATCTGCCGCTGGGGATAGTGTGCCTGCCCCTGCACCTGCCCCGGTATGCGCTGCTGCTGCATGTGCTGCACCTGGGGCCTCTGCTGCCCTCCCACTTGCTGTGGCGGCTGTTGCTGCTGCTGCTGTGCCTGTGCTTGTGTCGGTGGTGATAGCACCTGCCTCTGTGCCAAACCTTGCTGCTGTGGTACCTGAGGCCTCTGCTCCACCTGCTGCTGCTGCTGCGCCTGCTGTTGCTGCATCTGCTGTTGCACCTGCTGCTGCTGTGGTGGCGTCGTTTGTTGCTGCTGCTGCTGCTGCTGCACCTGGTTTGGCTGCTGTGTCTGCTGCACTCCTCCCTGCTGCTGCGCCCCTTGTTGCGCACTGCCCACCCCAACAGGAACAGCAGCAGGAGGGGCCGCCACCGGTCTCTGACCCACCTGCTGTTGCTGTTGCTGCTGCCCCTGCTGCTGCTGTTGCTGCTGCTGCTGTGGCTGCGCTCCAGGTTGTGGCAGCTGTTGCTGCTGCATCTGTGGCTGCTGCGGTGCTGCTGGTGGGGGCTGCTGCTGCCCCTGCTGCTGCCCTGGGCCAACGCCCCTCCCTCCCACTCCCACTGCTCCTCCACCCCTCCCTGCGCCAGCCACTCCACCCATCTGCCCTGCTGGCCCTGCCTGCACTGCCTGAGCTCCTGTTGCCTGCCCACCCCCAGGCTGACTCCTGCCTGCACCCGCAGGGGGCGCGGTAGCAGCACTACCAGGGGCCATGCGTGCAGGGCTGGTGGTTGCAGCAGGAGGTGCAGGAGGGGCAGATGGAGAGGCAGTGCTGCTGGGGATGGCAGGCGCTGGTGCAGAGGGAACTTGCTGCCGCTGGGGCTGCTGCTGCTGCTGTTGCCCTTGCTGTTGCTGCTGCTGCTGCTGCTGCTGCCCTTGCTGCTGCTGCTGCTGTTGCTGATGCTGTTGCTGCTGTGGCTGCGTGTAAGGCATCTGTGCTGATCTCATAGCAGGTCCCCCCTGCCCTTGTTGTTGCTGCTGCTGCTGCTGCTGTTGCGAAGGCACATGGGAGTGCGGCTGGGGTGGCATTGACTGTCCATAGAACCCTCTGCTCTGCCCTGCCCCTGCATCCACAGCCCCACCCATTCCTGCCATCACCGCGCCCATACCTGCACCCCCCACTCCAGGGCTCATGCCCGCTTGCCCGCCCATCGCCCCCCTAGGCCCCATTCCCATACCTCCTGCACCCATCCTTCCTGCCATGTGCCCCATTCCTACCGTGCCTGTCGGCGAGGCTCGGGGAAGCTGAGGTGGGCGCGGCGGATATGCCTGGCCTGCAGCACCTGGGTGCATTCCCCGGACCTGATGGTGAGGCCCGGGAACAGCATGGCCTCGCATGTGAGGGAGGCTTGGGCTTCCTGGACCTGCCACCGAACCTGGACTGGGGTAGCCTACTCCCGGAGCTACCTTTGCAGCTCCGGCAGCACCAGGCATGGGAGGCATGGGGGGAGAGGTAGGGCTAGGCCCAGGGCCAGTGGCAGCGTATCCCGGACCTGCTGGCCAGGTTCGATCCATACCTACAGGCTGGGAGGCAGAGCCCGTGGGTGCTGAAGGAGGTTGGGATCTAGGATGGGCTATGCCCGCTACAGACGGAGACCCTACGGAGGGGCTCATTGCATGGGGTGTGACTGTATGGGGCGGTGTGACCCTGCTGCCGGGAAGGCCATGGGGGGAGGGCGTATGTGGGGAGGCGGCATGAGACGGCATGGCATGGGAAGCGGCGTAGCCAGCATGAGGAGGGGGAGGGGTGGCATGTGGGGGACCCATGGTGTTCCCAGCGGCTGCTGCTGCCCCGTTTGGCCCTCTTGCCATGCCTGCTGGTGGCACACCCCGCCCCATCCCACTCATTCCTGCCATCACCCCGCCACTGGCAGCAGCAGAGGGGGCAGCAGAGGGGGAAGCACGCGAAGCCATGTGGTGAGGCGGGCCCCCCACTCCTACATGACCCCCCCCCCCACCACCAGCTGAACCAGCAGCAGTGGCAGCAGCAGCCACACTACCAGGGGGAGCGGAACTGGCAGCAGCAGCAGGGGCGGGTGGAGGGGGCATGGGCGGCAAGCCTCCTGCGCCCCCAGGCCCCCCAGAAGCCCCACCCTGCCGCGGCCCTGCTGCTCCCGCTCCCCCTGCCCCCGCTTGGCCCACCACACCCACCCCCCGCCCGCCTGCCATACCCCCCCCTCCCCCTGCTCCTGCTGGGCCTCCCATCCCGCCCCCTGCCGTCCCACCACCACTATTCCCACTGGCAGCAGCACCGGCAGCGCCGGCAGAAGCAGCAGCGGCGGCGGCAGCGGCGGCGCGGTCGCGGGCGGCGGCTGAGTTGGTGCTGATCTGCGTGGCGGGGTGCATGTGCTTGGGCAGCGGTATCACCTGGTCCTCCATCATGTGCCACCCCTCGCGCTGCACCTGTAGAGGGGCCAAGAGCAACGGGAGAGGAAGGGCGCGGGTCAGAATGAGCGGCAGGTAGAGGGCAGTGAGTGAAGAGGTGGAGGAGAGTGAAGTGGGAAGGTAAGAATATGCAAGGGAGGAACGGAAGGGGGATACATAGAGGTATAGGGAGCATGGAGAGGAGGACAAAAAGGAGGATGAGAAAAGATGGAACGAGGGGCACCATGTGTCCCAACAAGCACGTGCACGATCAGTACAAGCACGTGCACGATCAGTACAAGGACGTGCACGATCAGTACAAGCACGTGCACAATCAGTACAAGCACGTGCACGATCAGTACAAGCACGTGCACAATCAGTACAAGCACGTGCACGATCAGTACAAGCACGTGCACGATCAGTACAAGCACGTGCACGATCAATACAAGCACGTCCACGATCAGTACAAGCGGCATGTTCACCCATGAGAGGAAGGGCGAGCAGCAAAAAGCTAGAGCGAGGGCCAGAGGAAGAAGGTTTTCTTTTCTATGGTGGAGGGGCAGCATGGGGCAGCATGGGGCAGTGCGACACACGTACCACTCGAACATAGGTTCGCGCGAAGCGATCCGCGTATTCCTGGAAAAAGGGGACGGGCGAGGAGATGCACGGAGAGGCAACACAGTTGTGAGTGGATTAAGCAGGCGATGGGGGCAGACGATGGGGGGAGGGCCATCTGGAACAGGAGGAGGCACGTGGTGGTGCAATCTCACCTGTATGCATGTGCATGTGTGTTTGCAGGTGTGTGTGTGTGTGTGTGTGTGTGCGTGTGCGTGTGTGTGTGTGTGTGTGTGGGGGTGGGTGTGTGTGTGTGGGGGGGGGGGGAGGGGGGGTGTGTGTGTGTGTGCGTGTGTGTGTGTGTGTGCGTGTGCGTGTGCGTGTGCGTGTGTGTGTGTGTGTGCGTGTGTGTGTGTGTGCGTGTGTGTGTGTGTGTGCGTGTGCGTGTGTGTGTGTGTGTGTGCGTGTGCGTGTGTGTGTGTGTGCGTGTGTGTGTGTGTGTGCGTGTGTGTGTGTGTGTGTGCGTGTGTGTGTGTGTGTGCATGTGTGTGTGTGTGTGTGTGTGTAGGTGCGTGGGTCCATGCAAATGTGAGGGAAGGGGAGAGGGCAGGTCAGCGCACAGTGGTGGGCATGAGGGGAAGCTCACGGTGTTGGGCATGAGGGGAAGCTCACGGTGTTGGGCATGAGGGGAAGCTGCTGGTCGCGGCGCAGCGAGATGCTCGACCCGCCCGCCCCTCCTCCCGCACCGGCAGCGTCAGCATCGCCATCGGCGCCCTCCTGTATGATAGCCTCGACACACTCGTCCTTCTGCCGCCCCCTCATCACCAGTCGCTGCTGCATGCGCCTCACACCTGGTGGTGCGCAGAGAGGGCAATGGGGAAGGGAGAGGAGGCAGCATGAGGGTAGTAGGGGCAGCGTGAGGGTAGTAGGGGCAGCATGAGGGAGAGAGGTAACAGAGCAGGAGGGGAGAGAAACGAGAAGGGAAGGAGACCAGGCAAGGATGCTTGAAGCGGTTCCCCTTGTGCTGCAGCAACCTTAAGTTCTCGTGGAGAGGCACACACAGACCTTGCGGGTTGGAGTCAAGGCGAACAAAGGTGAGTCCGCGCATCTTGGGCGCATTGACGTTGACGCCTGCAGTGAGCAGCGAGAAGCGCAGGCTGCGCTTGCCCTTGGGCTCTGCTGGCTCCTCCCCTCCCCCCGCCAGCGCCTGCCGCACCAACGCCGGGTCCGGGTTGCTGCGCTTGGGGGGTGGCAAGACCTCGGGGGACGATGGTGCTGGCGGATACAGGCTGTGGCTGGTGGCGTGGATGCGGGGGAGAGGCGGGGCAGAGACAGGGGAGCAGGGGACAGAGATGAGATGATATAAGGGAAAGGAAGCAGAAGGAAGGTGGCAGAGGAAAAGAGGGCAGATAGAAGGAGAGAGAAAGGGGAGGAAAACAGGTAACAGATTGGAGGAGTAAGAGAAGGAAAGCGGGGAAAAAAGGTGAAACCGGATCTAAAGTCCGTTTTTGAGTCGACTCAAAAACAAGTCCACACATTTATAAAGAAAGACCACAGCAGACAGTGCATTACAGTGGAACCTGCCAAGCCCGTCAGAAACAGAGCAGGCCAACACAACAAACATCCTACACCCCAACGCAACACACCAGGAATGTTCCTGGTAAGCGCAACCAGACATATGGTTTAATTGAAAGAGCACGGAGCACGGAGCCCGGAGCATGGAGCACGGAGCACGGAGCACGGAGCACGGAGCACGGAGCACTTACCTCTTAATGATTGATAGCAGAGCTTTCAACGCCCTCTTCGTGTCTGCTGGAGCAGCGACAGCTGCCTTCTGCTGCTGCTGCTGCTGCTGCTGCTGCCCTGATGAGCCAGCAGCAGCAGCAACCGCGGTGGTACCAACTGCAGGCGCTACAGGAGCAGCAGGAGGTTTTGGTTTGTCCCTGTCCTCAGGTGCGCCCTCCACCACAATGCCACCTGGGGGCCCTGATGGTGCTGCTGCCACCACTGCCTTACGACCCTGCTCCCCATCCGCCACCTGAGAAGGAGCTACCATGCCTGCTGCTTGCTGCTGCTGCTGAACAGGCAGGCTGGGCCGGACCTGAGATTTGGCTTCAGGTGGCGCCATTACAACCGCACGTGCGGCCATACCTGCAGCAGCAGCAGGCGATGGTACTTCAGGAGGCATGGGTGGGCGAGCAGCAGCAACAGCAGGAGTGGTTCCCTCAGGGGCACCTGGTTGCACGGGGTGTGCCTGTTGACCATGTGGGGGTGGCGGCAGGTGCGACTGCTGAGCAATGCCGGGCTTGGCCAGTTGCGGCACTGGTGGGCCTGCTGTCACAGACGGAGAGGCAGCGGCAGCGGCAGCAGCAGGCAGGGGAGCGGGCAGGTGTGGGGGAGTGTATCCTGGCATGGGTGGTTGCGATGGGAGTTGACCTGGCTTGGACTGGAGAGCCGAAGCTGATGCCAATTGGATGCTGCTGCTGCTGCTGTTGCTGCTGTTGCTGTTGTTGCTGCTGTTGCTGCTGCTGCTGTTGTTGCTGTTGCTGCTGTTGCTGCTGCTGTTGCTGCTGTTGCTGCTGCTGCTGTTGCTGCTGCTGCTGCTGCTGCTGTTGCTGCTGTTGCCGCTGCTGTTGCAGTTGTAGTTGTTGTTGCTGTTGCTGAGGTGTGAGCTGCTGTCGATTGCCTTGTAGGAACTGCTGCTGCTGCTGTTGTGATTGGATCTGTTGCTGCTGCGATTGCATTGGTTGCATGCGCTGAGGCACTTGCTGCTGCAACTCTTGCTGCCTTTTTTGCAGCTCTTGCTGTTGCTGGATTCGCTGCTGCTGTTGCTGCTGTTGTTGTTGCTGTTGCTGCTGTTGCTGCTGTTGCTGTTGCTGCTGTTGCTGTTGCTGTTGCTGCTGTTGCTGTTGCTGTTGCTGTTGCTGTTGCTGCTGTTGCTGTTGCTGTTGCTGCTGTTGCTGTTGCTGTTGCTGCTGCTGCTCCCTTTGCTGCATCTGCTGCTGCTGCTGCTGCCTCAACCGCTGCTGGTAAAGCAGCATGTGCTGCTGCTGCTGGAACTGCAGCTGAGTCCCAGCCTCCCCTCCTGCGTCCCCCC